GCAGGGTGAGGAGAGGCCGAATGACAGAAGCCACAGCACTCAGCCCCCTGGCCAGGCCACAGCCTGTGCCACCCCCACCCCCACTGCTTTCTGCATGGGCTCGGTATCAGGTTCTGACCTTGGGGGCTGCAGTCCCACTCCCTGCCATGCCCAGCCTCCCTCACCATCTGCTCCCCTGGAAAAGGTGTTCCTTATCTCCTGAGTCTTGCCTGAAACTCCCCCACTTCGGGGCCCCAAGAGAACCTGGCTCTACCTCCACACTGAGGGCCATCCCCATGTCCCCAAGTGCTCCTCTGTGCGGATGGTCACCACCTACGCCCCCTCCCTGCCACCTCCCCTCCAGAACCTGGGTCGGTCTGGGTCCACTTCAGTGACCCACACACCTGGGACCTCCTCCCAAACCAGAACAGAAACTCGGAGCTCTGACTGCTGACCCCAAGTGCTCAGCCTCCAGCGTAGTTTTTCCCCATTGTGACCCCCTTATCCTTCCCCGAGCCCCCCCGCCAATCTCCGGTCCCAGATCCCGTCAGAGCCAGCTGAGTCCCCAGCCACCCGCCAGCTCCACCGCTTTCTTGCCAACCCCCTTAATTTCCAGCCTCCACACCCACCAGCTGAGATCATCTTGCCCTTCTCTGCCAGAGACACTCCAAGAGGTGACAGCAAAGTCACAGTCACCTTCTCAGCACCTGCCCCCGACACATGGGGTCCTGTTCACCCTCAAACCAAATGGACAGAGGCTCAGTGTGGTTAGGCAATTTTGCACAAGACCAGAAAGAGGTTCTGGGGCAGGGCGGGAGCTCCCATCCATGCCTCTCCCTCTACAGAGTGCTCCCGGCACAGTGCTCCCCACGCAGGCCAGCTCCAGCCTCCCGTGCGAACCCACCAGGCACAGATTCATCCCCACTCAGCTCCCCGTCCAGTTCCCAGCAGTGGCCTTTCCACATCCTCTCCCCGGAACCCTCCATTCTGTCTCCTCCCATCCCAGGCCCCACATGCAACATGGCAGAGAAAACAGCCTGGCCTCTGCTCTCTAGGGAGCACTGCGCCAAGGGTACTCCTCACCCTCATCTCTGCACCGTCCACCCTCCAGCCCCTCTCCTGGGTCTTTCCCCTCCCAGCCCCTCCTCTCAGCAGGTGGATGTGCTCGAGTCTTCCCAGGGACACAGTAACCCTGAACCCAGGCAGCAGCTGCACCTCAACCCAGTGCTAACTTCCAGTTCCTAGTTCCTAGTTCCTAGTTCTCTTCCTCCGCTCACAGCCAAGCTCTAAAAAGTCTCCGAGACTTGGCTCTCTCTCTTCCTTGGCTCTTCTGTCATCCCCAAGATCAACGTCCACCCGTTCCATCAAATGGTTCTCGCCAAGGTGACCTGACTTCCAGGAAGTGGGTCCCGTTCCTTATCACAGGACTGACCTGAGGCTATGGACACTCTTTTCTCCCTGTCTTCTGGGCCACACCCTCTCTCAGCTGTCTCCCTGCCCGCAGCCTCTGCTGGAAGTTTTCACTCAGCTGAGGGTTTTGCGCTGCCCCGTCCATCCTGGGTCACAGCAGCTGGCCTTTCTAAGTGCGCACTTCGCCCCTCACTCTCTCCTGCCTACTGCGCTCAAGGCAAGCACTGCAGCCCAGCAGAGCCTCTGATCTCTTCTCTCCCTCTCACCTCCCGCCCTGAGCTCTGGCCACTACGGTTCTGCTCATGGCCTTTGTGTCCACCTGCTCTTACTCTCCCCTCTCAGCCCATGTGTCTGCCTCACTCTTTTTATTTATTTGCTTATTTACTTTTTAAGATGGAGTCTCACTCTGTCACCCAGGCTGGAGTGCAGTGGTATGATCTTGGCTCACTGCAGCCTCTGCCTCCCGGGTTCAAGTGATTCTCCTGCCTCAGCCTCCCGAGTAGCTGGGATTACAGGCACCCGCCACCACGCCTGGCTAACTTTTTTTGTACTAAGAGATGGGTTTTACCATGTTGCCCAGGCAGGTCTTGAACTCCTGAACTCCTGACTTCAACTCCTGCCTTGGCTTCCCAAAAAAGTGCTGGCATGAGCCACCACACCCAGACTATTTTTTTCTTTTGAAATAGAGAGAGAGGGTCTCACTGTATTGCCCAGGCTGCTCTTGAACTCCTGAGTTCAAGCCATCCTCCCGCCTCCATCTCCCGAGTGCTGGGATTACAGGTGAGAGCCATGGTGCCTGGCCCACTCTCTTTAAAGACTCAGGCCAGCCATCCCCTAATCCAGGAAGCCTTCTGCAACCCCCTGGCCTGGGTCAGGTGTCCCTCACTGTGCCACCACATCCCCCGTGCTTCCCCTACAAAGCGCCTTCACAGTGAGCTGCCACCCTCAGCCGGGCATCCCCCCTGTTGTCAGCACCGGGCTTCATTGCTCAGCCCGAACTGGGCTCAGGGAACATTTGCTGACTGAATAACCAAGAAGAGACAGCACCTGGCTTCAGGCCTCCCCCGCAGGAGTGGCTGGGAACTGAGCTAGGGCTGGGGGGTGGGGGCCCTCACCCGTTCTTCTTGGGCAAATAGGCCTCCATGTCAAAGAACAGGCCTTGACGCTCTTTCATCTGGTTCTCCAGCTCCTGCGCGGCCTCCTCGGCCTCTGCTGGGAGGGAGGGTTTGCATCTGCGGGTGAGGCCAGAGAGAGTCAGGGCGGGGCAGAAGGGCGAACATGGCGCAGTGAGGAGAGGAGCTGTGCCCAGGGTCTCACAGCACCAGCCCTCCCACCCCGTACTCAGCCCACGGCAGGTGGGGTAGGGGCGCCTAACTTCTTCAGGGCGAGGGCCAGCTCCTGGAGCTGCTTCTTCTGCCTCGTTATGGAGCTGCTGCAATGGCTCTGCAGCTTGGTCAACTCCTCCAGCTTCAGGCGGTACAGCCGATGGGTCTCCTGGGGGCCAGAGGGAAGAAGGTGGCTCAGGCCGTTTGGGAAACCACTGAGCCAGAACCTGCAGGCAGGATGTGGGGCAGGGGCTCCTCCAGGACTTGCTCAGCGGGAAAGGAGGCAGAACTTCTGGGCCTGCCTAGGGACGAGGTGGCTCTCTCCCCAAGGCAGGCGAGGACCTGGGTGTCCTCCTCGAGCCCAAAGACCTCCATTGGACCCCTCCCCCAGAAACAGACTAGGAGTTTTTTGTTTTGTTTTGAGACAGTCTCTGTCACCCAAGCTGCAGTGCAATGGCATGATCTCGGCTCACTGCAACCTCTGCCTCCCAGGTTCAAGCATTCTTCCACCTCAGCCTCCTGGGCTGAAGTAGCTGGAATTACAGGCACCTGCCATCATGCCCCGCTAATTTTTGTATTTTGTAGAGACAGGGTTTCACTATGTTGGCCAGGTTGGTCTTGAACTCCTGACCTCAGGTGATCCACCCACCTCAGCTTTCCAAGGTGCTGAGATTACAGGTGTGAGCCACCACCCCGGGCCAAGGTTTTCTTAGTCTCAGCCCATCTGCTAGTTTTCCCCACCCTACACGGAGGGGCTCTCTCTTTCCCACCTTGATTCTGGAGCTTAGGCCCCCAGGACCACCTTGTGGACCAAGCAGGACCCCCAGAGCCACCCCTTTGTCTTCGAAGCTCCTCCTGCCTATCCAGCCTTCGAGTACAGGGGGCGCTCAGGTTCTCAGGCATTCCTGACATCTTTCCCTTCCCCCAGCACCTTTGGCCCAAGGCTTCCCCGAGCACTTTGCCCTGGTGGGTAAGTCTCAAGAAGGTGCAACCTAGAGATGGGGCAAGGGGCAGTGTGGGGAGAGCCAAGCTGGGGCTGCGGCCAGGACAGCGGCGGCCAGGCGTGGAGACTGGGTCAGCTCAGATCTCTGGGGAGAAGCACCAATGGCAGGGGGCTTGGCAGGGCCAGGGAGCAGCTGGGCTTCAATGCCAACAGGAAGGGGTTGGAGCCCATCCAGGAGAAGCGACCGCTTAACCAAATCATCAGCTGGCCGAGGCTCTACTCTGCCTGGATCTTGTTTCTCATGCCCAGGAGGAGGCAGCACGCCCCCTCGGACCCCAGCATGTGCCACTTCTGCCCACCCACAGCCACTGCCCTCTCCCCCTGCCTGGAGGAGGCCAGCAGCCTCCTCCTCCCTGGCTTCTGGACAGAACAGCCACGGTGGCCCCGTGGAGCCGGGTCCAGACAATTCCTCCCGTGGCTTTCCACTGGCCTCAGAGGGACTCCAATCTCTGCCAGGCTAGGGCATCCCCGCAGGGCCTCCGCCCACCCCTCCCCTGGCTCTCCTTGGTGCAGCCACATGGGCCTGTTTCCTTCTAAAGGCTCGGTGGCAGGCAACGTCCCTCCGACTGGGGCACCCCCGGACATCCAGGCCAAGGACTTCCCCCTAAACACTGCTCCCCCGACCCGAGCTGCCTCTCGGACGCTGCCAGCTGCGCGTTTACTGAGTGGCTGACCCAAGGCTGGGCCCGCCCTTGTGTGACTCAGGCGCCCGGTCTCTCCCGGGAGGGGACGGGGTCGGGGTCTGGGCCCCTTTCCAAGGCCCTCGTTGGAGGCCAAGGTCGCCGAGCGCGGTGGGGTCCCGCCGTAGTCCCCGGACACTGGAGAGAGCGGCAGCGGACACCAGGACCCTGGGCCTCGCCGCCTTCAGGAGTGATGCCAGGGCCCCGAACCCCGACCCTGAGCTCCCCGCTGCCTGACCCAGGGCTGACCGACCCTTGACCCTGAGCCAGCGAGACATGGCTCGGGGGCCACCAGCCGTCCGCAGCCGCGCTCACCTGGATGTTCTGGAAGTCCTGCTGTAGATCCTCCCAGTCCCGCAGGCAGTCGCCTAGCGGGCCCGGGGACGGGGGCTGCATGGCTACAGCGCCCGGAGCCAGGAGTCTAGGAAGGCGCAGCAACCCCGGCCCGCCCAAGGCGCCTCCGCCACCGCCCCCGTCCGCTTCCGGGCTCGCACCGCCGCGGGAACCAATGGGAAAAGGCCACGCCCCCACCCCAGCCAATCCAAGGAAGGGGCGGGGCAGGGGCAGGGGCAGGGGCAGGGGCAGGGGCAGGGGCAGGGGCGAGGCCGTGCGCCAAGGCTGCTGCTGGCCCCGCGACTCGCGGCCTGAACCGGGACTGGAACGGCTGCAGCCCATGGGCCTGGACTGCACTGACTGTGCCAGCCGCATGGTACAGCCAGCAGGGCTCTGGCCCGTCATGCTGGGAGCAAACCAAGGTCCAGGAAGGTAACACCTGCCTGCAACACTTTCGTCCTTGGGAAGCTCAGCCCCTTTGGGGAAGGGAGTTAGAGCTGCTTCTCTCGCTTCGATTTTGACAGCGGACTCCTTTCTCCCTGCCTCACCTCCACTGTCCCTTCTTGTAGCCACAAGACTGCCCTTCCCAAAACACAATTCCCCATCATGTTCCTGCTTAAAACTTTCCAGCGGCTCTGTCCTGCCCACCAGGAGGTCCCTAATCAGAGCTCTGCAGCCATCTCGGTCTCTGTCCCAACTCAAGCCTGGGCTGCCTGGAAAGCCCTTCCCCTCTGGCAAAACCCCACTCCTTGAAGGCCTGCCCTGCTGTTGGGGGAATCCCACACCCCTCCATCCCTCTGCAGTGAGTGCTAGGTGGTGGGATGGCATTCATCTCTGTTCCCAGACCCACCCACGTGGGGACAGGGAATGGTTGCTGAAGTGACTTGGGGAACGACCCGCATGAATGGACATCCTAATCCCCTACCAGCCCCCTAGTCTGTGCCGTCTCCTGATGCCCAGTTTGTTCTGTGGGTACTGTCAGCTTTGGAGAAGTGCATTCAGAAAACAGCTTCCAACTGGGCGCCATGGCCCAAGTCTGTAATCCCAGCACTTTGGTGAGGCCGAGGCTGGAGTTCAAGACCAGCCTAGGAAACAGAGCCAGACTGTTTCTACAAAAATAAAAATAAAATTAGCCAGGTGTGGTGGTGCATACCTGCAGTCCCAGCTACTCACTCAGGAGGTTGAGGTAAGATCCCTTGAGCCTTGGGAAGTTGAGGCTGCATGAGCCATGATAGCACCATGGCTCTCCAGCCTGAGACAGAGCAAGACCGTGCTTCAAAAAAAAAGAGGAAAGGAGAAAAAAAGGGAAAACTTTTAAGAACTTAGGAATTTCTAGAAAGCTGGAGATGGGAGGGTACAAATCTCTCCTTGGTGAATACAGCCAGACAGAAATGAGTGGCAAGCAGGGAAAGGAAACGTGTTTCACGGGGCAGATGGCAGGAAGCACTGGGGATGAGGCAAGGGTGTGACCCCATTCCAGGAGCCTGGGGCCTGGACAAGGCTGGGCTTGGGATCTCTGCCCATTGGTGGGTGTTGTGATATCCTCTGTGAACCAACACAGGCAACATCTGGGTACCCCCCACGCAGCCCCCAAAGGGTCCAGGTCACAGGGGGATGTGGGGCAGCTGCTCTAGCAGCCAGATGCCCTTCCAGAGGCAGCCACAGGGGTGCAGGAGGGATGGCCCAAGATGCCCTGGGGATGTGGATTCTCAGTGAGCCTCAGCAGGGCGCACCTGCTGTGTGGTATGAACAGGCGCTTGGGAAGAATCAGTACAGGAGGATGACATGAGACTTTCAGGTGGCAAAGGCCTTCTTCCAGACAACCCTGGGTATACACACTCTGGCCCTCCACCCACAAAAAGCCCCCAAGCGAGGCCCTTCAGCACCCTTCACCGTGGAGATCAGTAGAGTAGATCCGTGATGTTTGTGATGAAATCTCCAAGGATAATCTTCTCCCATTCCAGCAGCTGAGTCACCAGCCCCTGATTTGGACACATGTTGTTTTTGCACTTCTTGACATAGGCCCAGGACCTCTATGAATACAAAGAGAGAGAGTGAACGCCCGGGCCCTTTCCACTTGGATCAGAGGCAGCTTTCAGAGACAGGAGGCACTTGCACAGTGCCAGCCATACCACTTAAGGGCTGGACGCAAAAATAAGGCAGCCTGGCATAAATTCATAAATTCATCAGTGCTAGGAATCGTGTTAAATCTGGGGACAGAAACAATTCCTATTTCAAACAGTTCCTGGGAGGACTGAGACAACATAGCTGAAACCACCTGTGGATGAAAAACGCTATGCCAAGCCTAGTACAGTCTCAACAAAGGTTTGCCTTACGACTGGATGAATTAATGGAAAGAGGAAGGGAACTGTGGGCAAATTCTCTGAAGACGGGAAATTCAAGCTGCCCTCTTCCAGGCGTCCACCTTAAAGGAAAGAGTTGCTGCATGAAGAAGGGTGAGCGCCTGGTTGGAAAGGCAGGAGTGGTGCCTGAAACTAGGAATAGAAGGAAATGACTGGGTGCGGTGGCTCACACCTGTAATCCCAGCACTTTGGGAGGCCAAGGCGGGCCAATCACGAGGTCAGGGGTTTGAGACCAGCCGGCCAACATGGCAAAACCCCATCTCTACTAAAAAAAAAAAAAAAACAGAAATTAGCCAGGTATGGTGGCACATGCCTGTAATCCTGGCTACTTGGGTGGCTGAGGCAGGAAAATCGCTTGAACATGGGAGGCAGAGGTTGCAGTTAACCGCGATTGTGCCACTGCACTCCAGCGTGGGTGACAGGGCAAGACTCTGTCTCAAAAAAAAAAAGAAAAGGAAGGAAATGATGTCATTCCAATAAAGGCCATATATGAGAAGGCCACAGCTAACATCACACTCAATGGCAAAAGATAAAGTGTTTCCTCTAAGATAAGGAACAAGGCAAGGATGCCTGCTTTCATCACTTCTGTTCAACATAGTACTGGAAGTCCTAGCCAGAACAATGAGGCAAGAAAAGGAAATAAAAGGCGTCTACATTGGATAGGAAGACGTAAACTTACCTCTGTTTGAAGATGACATGATCTCCTGTGTAGAAAACCCTGAAGATTACACACACACACACACACACACACACACACAGAGAGAGCGCGAGAGAGAGGGAGCGAGCGAGAGCGAGAGAGCGCTAATAAATTCAGCAAAGTTGCAGGATACAAACCAGCAGGCAAAAATTAGTTGCGTGTCTATATATTAACAATAAACAATTCAAAAAGGAAATTAAGAAAACAATTCCATTTGTAGTAGCATCAAAAAGAAGAAAATATTTAACCAAGGAGGCAAAAGGCTTGTATACTGAAAACTGAAAAACAGTGCTGAAAGAAATTAAAGAAACAAACAAATGAAAAGACATCCTGTGTTCATGGGTTGGAAAACTTAATATTATTAAGATGCCAATACTACTCAAAGCAATCCACAGGTATAAGGCAATTCCTAACAAAATCCCAACAGCTTATTTTGCAGAAATAGAAAAATCCATCCTAAAATTTATATGGAATCTCAAGGGACCCCATACAAAATATTTAAAAAAAAAAAAAACAAAGTTGGAGGTCTCACACTTCCTGATTTCAAACCTTCTAACAAAGCTACAGTAATCAAAACAGTGTGGTATGGGCATGAAGACAAAGAGATCAATGAAATAGAATAGCCAGCCTAGAAATAAACCCTTACATATATGGTCAAGCATTTTTCTTTTTTGAGACAGAGTCTTGGTCTGGTGCCCAGGCTGGAGTGCAGTGGCACAATCTCAGCTCACTGCAACTTCCACCTCCTGGGTTCAAGTGATTCTTGTGCCTCAGCCTCCAAAGTAGCCGGGATCACAGGAATGTGCCACCATGCCCAGCTTATTTTTGTATTTTTAGCAGAGATAAGGTTTTGCCATGTTGACCAGGCTGATCTCAAACTCCTGGCCTCAGGTGATCTGCCTGCCTCAGCCTCCCAAAATGCTGGGATTACAGGGGTGAGCCACTGCACCTAGCCTGTCAAGCAATTTTTGATAGCGTGCCAAGACCATTCAATGGGGGAAAAGGACAGTCATTTCATCAAATGGTGCTAAGAAAACTAGATATCCCCACATAAAAGAATAAAATTGAAAACAGGAAATCAATAGAGAAAAATCAATAAAACCAAAAGCCAGTTCTTTGAAAAGATCAATAAAATCAATACACCTCTAGCCAGGCTAACTGAAAATAAAGAGAAGACACAAATTACCAATATCAGAAGTGAAAGAGGAGACATTGCTACAGATCCCACAGACATTAAAAGGATAATAAAAGAAAATTCATACCCACAAATGCGACTGATCAATTCTTTGAAAGATACAATCTGCCAAAACTCACACAAGAAGAAACAGACAATCTGAACAGACTTACATCTATTAAAGAAATTGAATCAATAACTAGTAATCTTCCAAAACAGAAAAGCACCCAGCCCATGCGGGTTCACTGGTGAAGTCCACATATAATGGATTATTATTCAGCCTTCAAAGGATGGAACCTAGATGAGGGACCTAGAGTAGCCAAATTCATAGAGGACGGAAGTGGAATGGTGGTTCCCACAGGGCGATGAAGACGGGGAAGTAATGAGCTGTTCTTTCAGTTTTGCAAGATGGAAAAGTCTGAGATTGGCTGCACGATAATGCGAATGTACTTAATGCTCCTAACCTACACATTTTTAAATGGTTACGATGGTAATTTTTTTTTTTTTTTTGAGACAGAGTCTTGCTCTGTCGCCAGGCAGGAATGCAGTGGCACTGTCTCAGCTCATTGTAACCTCCGCCTCCTGGGTTCAAGCAGTTCTCCTGCCTCAGCCTCTGGAGTAGCTGGGATTACAGGTGCACGCCATCACGCTGGGATAATTTTTTTTTGTATTTTTTAATAGAAATGGGATTTCACCATGTTGGCTAGGATGGTCTCGATTTCCTGACCTCGTGACCTGCCTGCCTCGGCCTCCCAAAGTGCTGGGATTACAGGTGTTAGCCACCGTGCCTGCCCAAGATAGTAATTTGTGTGTGTGTGTGTGTGTGTGTATTTTTTTCTTCTGAGACAGTTTTCCATTCTCTTGCCTCAGCCTCCCCAGTAGCTGGGATTACAGACATACCACCACACCCAGCTAATTTTTGTATTTTCAGTAGAAACGGGGTTTCACCATTGTTGGTCACGCTGGTCTCAAACTCTTGACCTCAAGTGATCTACCTGCCTCGGCCTCCCAAAGTGCTGAGATTTCAAGTGTGAGTCACTGCGCCTAGCCCAGACTCTTTTTTTTTGAGACAGAGTCATGCTCTATCACTCATGCAGTGGCACAATCACAACTCACTGCAGCCTTGAACTCTTCAGCTCAAGTGATCCTCCCACCTTAGCCTCCTGAGTAGCCGAGACCACAGGTGCACACTGATTTTTTATTTTTTGTAGAGATGGGCTCTCTCTATGTTACCCAGGCTGATTTCAAACTCCTGACCTCAAGCAATCCTGTTTGAGCCTCCCAAAAAGCTAGAATTACAGGTATGAGCCACCATGCCCTGCCTTTTCAAAGATTGTGTTGAAATATACATAACACAGAATTTACCATTACAACCATTTTTGGGTGCACAGTTAAATGGCATTAAACACATTCACACTGTTGTGCAACCATCACCACTATCCATCTCTAGAACATTTTTTTTTGAGACAGTTTTGTTCTTGTAGCCCAGGCTGGAGTGCAGTGGCGCGATCTCAGCTCACTACAACCTCCGCCTCCCAGGTTCAAGCGATTCTCCTGCCTCAGCCTCCCGAGTAGCTGGGATTACAGGCGCCTGCCACCATGTCCATCTAATTTTTGTATTTTTTAGTAGAGATGGGGTTTCACCATGTTGGCAAGGATGGTCTCAATCTCTTGACCTCATGATCCACCTGTCTTGGCCTCCCAAAGTGCTGGGATTACAGGTGTGAGTCACCACGCCCAGCCTTTTTTTTTTTTTTTTTTTTTTTTTTAAGAGACAGGTCTCACTCTGTAACCCTGGCTGGAGTGCAGTGGCATGATCATAGCTCACTGCAACCTCAACCTCCCAGCTCAAATGATGCTCCCACCTCAGTCTCCTGAGTAGCTGGGACCACAGGCATGCAGCGCCACACCCAGCTAAGAGAATTTCCTTCCTTTAAAAGTCTGAGTAATTTTCCACTGTCTGTATATGTCACATTTGATATCTCCATTCATTCGTCCAGGGACACCTGGGCCCTTTCCACCCTTTGGCTGCTGTAACACTGCCATGAACAGGAACATCCAAGTATCTGCGGAAGTTCCTGCTCCCACTTCTTTTGGGCACGAACCCAGGAGCAAAATTCCTGGATATCCAAGACTCTTTCTAGGCTAGGCGCAGTGGCTCAAGCCTGTCATCCCACAAGGCTGAGGCAGGCAGATCACCTGAGGTCAGGAGTTCAAGACCAGCCTGGCCAACATGGCGAAACCCTGTCTCTACTAAAAATACAAAAATTAGCCAGGCGTGGTGGCGCACGCCTGTAATCCGAGCTACTAGGGAGGCTGAGACAGGAGAATCACTTGAACCCAGGAGGCAGAGGTTGCAGGGAGCTGAGATTGCACCACTGTCCTCCAGCCTGGGTGACAGAAGTTGACTCCATCGCAAAAAAAAAAAGACTCTAGCCTGCAACTTCACCCCCAAAGTGCACATGGGGGTGACATCCAAAACCACTGGCCAACGGGCTTTATTCTTCGTCCCTCTCCTTCCTCTAAACACACCCCTGGGCAAATGTCAGGGCTTTGTGGGTCCTATCAAGCCCTCTGAGATCACTAACAGGCTGTGACAGGCAGGGCAGGCCCCCGAGAAAGGCGCTGTGTGCAAGTCAGCCGCCCCAAGTTCTGCCTGGGTTTGCCGCGATGGGTCCCTGCTTCCCTCTCCTCCTGGACCTTGCACCCAAGGTACAGGGAGGTTGGCGGGAGTAGGTGGGCGCCTGTGTTGCACTTCTGGGACTCCTAGTTCTCCCTTGGGCAACACCAAACACAGACAGCAGCAGGGGCCACACCAAGGGGGCTGCAGGACAGCCTGACCCTGCCTGAGTCCCTGGTGTCCAGCTTCAGGCCTCAAGCCTGCAACATGGGCTAGGGAGCACCCTAGACTTGGGAGTTCTCTGGGATTCTTCCTCCCAAAGCAGTGCCAGGGCCACGCTCCTCCCAGGTCGCACTCTAACCCTGCCTCCCAGGGATGGCCATGGTGTAGGCCTGGCCTGGGAATGCCTACCTGCAAGGTCTGCTCGTTATAATGCATGAGGTAGGCTATGGCTGCGGCACAGCTGCGGCTGAGACCTCGGGTGGAAAAGATCAGAACGACAGAGCCAAGCTGAAGGTGAATTTCTGCAAAAGGAAGTGAGGTTTGGGTCGTGCCTGGCCCTCCTCCCTGTGGGCCTGGGTTGCTGTCAGTCACTGGCCTCCATGGGCCCAGGGTGCAAGCATGAGTTCAGGACCAGCCCATGCGACCTCGGAAAGTCCCATAATTTCTCTGGGTATCCGTTTCATTGTCTAGCAAGTGGGCATCCTTCAGACCTGGCTGGAAACTCCAGAGAACTATGCCTGGGTAACCAGCATCACAAGGCAAAGACCTTTTCCTGAACTCCAGGCTTCTAGCCCAGGAAGCTCTGCTACCAACTGGCCTCCCAGGATGAGGCAGACAGGACCATCATCAACTCAAACATTCAGGAGCTGACAGAGGCAGTGCAGCCTCAGTGCCAATCCTGCCACTTAGTGGTTATCAGGCTTGAGTAAGATCCAACCCTACCCTTTCCCTTTCCCCTCTGTTCCCCTCTGTTCTCCTCTCCCTCCTCCTCCCTCCTCCCCTCTCCTCTCCCTCCTCCCCCTCTCCCTCCCCCCTTCCCTCTCCTCTCCCTCCTCCCCCTCCCCCTCACTTCCCTCTCCTCCCCATCCCTTCCCCTCCCCCTCCCTCTCACTCCTTCCCTCTCCTCCCCATCCCCTTTCCCCTCCCCCTCCCTCTCACTCCTTCCCTCTCCTCCCCATCCCCTTCCCCTCCCCCCTCCCTCTCACTCCTTCCCTCTCCTCCCCCTCCCCCTCACTACTTCCCTCTTCTCCCCTTCCCCTCCCCCCTCCCTCTCACTCCTTCCCTCTCCTCCCCCTCCCCCTCACTACTTCCCTCTTCTCCCCATCCCCTTCCCCCACCCCGTCACTCCTTCCCTATCCTCCCCCTCCCCCTCACTACTTTCCTCTCCTCCCCATCCCCTTCCCCACTTCCCGCTCACTCCTTCCCTCTCCTCTCCCTCCCCCTCACTACTTCCCTCTCCTCCCCATCCACTTCCCCCCTCACTCCTGCCCTCTCCTATCCCCTCCCCATCCCCTTTTCCCCCCTCCCCTCTTCCCCTTCCCCCTCCCCCTTCCCTCCCTCCTCCCCTCCCCACTTCCCTCCTCTCCTTCTTTGTTGAGACAGTCTCGCTCTTGTTGCTCAGGCTGGAGTGCAATGGTACAATCTCCACCTCCCGGGTTCAAGCAATTCTCCTGCCTTAGCCTCCCAAGTAGCTGGGATTACAAGTGACTGCCACCACGCCCAGCTAATTTTTTGTATTTTAGTAGAGACAAGTTTCACCATGTTGGCCAGGCTGGTCTCCAACTCATGGCTTCAGGTGATCTGCCCACCTTGGCCTCCCGAGGTGCTGGGATTATGAGCGTGGGCCCCTGCATCTGACTTTTTTTTTTTTAAATATAGACATGGAGTCTCACTATGTTGTTCACGCTGGTCTTGAACTCCTGACCTCAGGTGATCTGCCTGCCTCAGACTCTTAAAGTACTGGGATTACAGGCAAGAGCCACTGTGGCCAGCCTATTTTTATTTATTGTATTTTAGAGACTGGGTCTTGCTCTGTGGCCCAGGCTGGAACACAGTGGTGCAATCACAGCTCACTGCAACCTTGAACTCCTGGGCTCAAGCCATTCTCCCACCTTAGCACGTGCCACCAGGTCCAGCTAACTTTTTTTGCACAGATGGGGTCTCACAATGTTGCCCAGGCTGGAGGGTAAGTGGCTTTAAGCCACTGTGTCCTCATGTGGAAAATACTACCTACTCCACATGGTTTGGTTTTGTTCCATGCTGAGCCCAGTGCCTGGCACAGAGATGTCAACTACAATCACAGCACCCCTGAAGCTGTGAGTCCTGACCAGGGACAGGAAATCTAAGCTGGCACCCGACGCTGGTCTGGCACCCCTCAGGGACTGAAGATAAGCATACCAAGCGCAAAGTCACAGACTGCCAGGGCTGAAGGAGGATGCAGAAATGATGAAGGCCACATCCCTCATCTGAATGAAGAAACTGAGCACCGTTCATTCATTAAGGACTGGCTCAGTGCTACCCAGGGAGGGGGGCTGGATGGGGGCCTCTTTGGGCCACAAGGCTCTGCAATCTCAGGTGGGACATGTGGGTTGTCTCAGCCTCAGGTCCTAGTTGAGTGACAGTTGACATCTGCTGGGAAATAAAGAATAGTTGGGGCTGGGTGCAGTGGCTCACGCCTGTAATCCCAGTATTTTGGGAAGCTGAGGCGAGTAGATTGCTTGAGCTCAGGAGTTCAAGACCAGCCTGGGCAACATGGCAAAAACCCATCTCTACTACAAATACAAAAATTAGATGGGCATGATGGTGCATGCCTGTAGTCCAGCTACTTGGGATGCTGAGGAAGGAGAATTCCTTGAGCCTAGGAGGTAGAGGTGGCAGTGAGCCAAGACTATGACAAGGTACTCCAGCTTGGACGAATGAATGAGCCAGACCCTGTCTCAAAAAATTAAAATAAGGGATGGTTGGGCCAAAACACCATGCTCCGGCCTTGGTACAGTGGCTCAGGCCAGGGGCTGTGTTGGTGCCAGACAGGCAGGCCCGGGGTGGGGACTCCGCCCTGACTCAGCCCTTCTGTCTCTGTGGATCTTACTCTCCTCGGGCAATCTGGAGCCCCAGTATTGAAAAAAACCCACTCTCGATGAGTTAAGTAACTGGTGGGCATCACTTGGGCATGGTGGCTCATGCCTATAATCCCAGCACTTTGAGAGGCTGAGGAAGGAGCATTGCTTGAGGCTACGAGTTCAAGACCTGCCTGGGCAACATAGTAAGACCCCAACTCCACCAACCAACAAACAAAAACAAAAGAAAATATTGGAAGCCAGAGCTGAAAGGGCTTTGCAGTCCTCCTTCCATTCCACTCGCAGACCACAGACCAAGGATGAAGGCATGGATGGAGAGAGATTTGCCTCCTGGTCCCAGAGCTCAGCCCAGAGCCTCTACCAGCATGTACACTTGTGGGCAGACATCACCCTCATTTTACAAGCCCAGAAGGGCTCAGCTGTCCAGCCAGGGCCAGAGCCTAGGATGCTCAACCCACAATCTTGGGCCCCACTCCCCTGGAAGTCAATGCCATGGTTGCTTATTTCACTAAGGGCTCCTGAGACGCTGGACCTGTCCTGGAGCTCGTCCCACCCAGGCTGGGCACGTGCCGGGCCCTGCCCCTTCTCTCCAGAGCACAGGGAGTCACCATCCGGAAGAAGCCTGTGAAGGAGGCGCCACTGCCCCTCTGCTTCCCCAGACATAGGCCAGTGGCTACCTGGCCAAGGAACGCTCCTTACCAATGAAGTGACACAGGTGGCGTAAGAAGGGAAGAATCTGGGCTTCCGGGGAATCTTCTATCCGGATGTGCAGGAGCTTGTCAGCTTCGCCTGCAAAACTACACGAAGGACCACACAGGTCATCAGGCCGAACGCAGAAGACACACAACCCCATTACGGGGTTTTCATCACAGCAGAAAGGCCACAGGGAGGATGCTGAGCTTGTGTAAGGGGACTGTGCACAGGTAACTCAACCTCTCCTGGGAAAAAACATCCAGGCTGGGTGCGGTGGCTCATGCCTCTAAGCTCAGTAACTTGGGAGACAAAGAGGTGGGAGTATCACAAAGCGAGAGTTCATTTTTTGTTTTGTTTTGTTTTGTTTTTGAGACGGAGTTTCGCTCGTTACCCAGGCTGGAGTGCAATGGCGCTATCTTGGCTCACCGCAACCTCCGCCTCCTGGGTTCAGGCAATTCTGCTGCAGCCTCCTGAGTAGCTGGGATTACAGGCACGCGCCACCGTGCCCAGCCAATTTTTTTTGTATTTTTAGTAGAGACGGGGTTTCACCATGTTGACCAGGATGGTCTCGATATCTTGACCTCATGATCCACCCGCCTCGGCCTCCCAAAATGCTGGGATTACAGGCTTGAGCCACCGCGCCCGGCCGAGTTCGTCTTTTTTTTATTTGAGACAGAGTCTTGCTCTGTTGCCCAGGCTGGAGTGCAGTGGCACAATCTCAGCTCACTGCAATCTCTGCCTCTCAGGTTCAAGTGATTCTCCTGCCTCAGCCTCCCGAGTGGCTGGGATTACAGGCATGTGGCACCATGCCCAGCTTATGTTTATATTTTTAGTAGAGACAGTGTTTTACCATGTTGGCCAGGCTGGTCTCGAACTTCCAACCTCAGCTGATCCACCCGCCTTGGCCTCCCAAAGTGCTGGGATTATAGGCATGAACCACTAAACCCAGTCAAAAAATTTATTTTTTATTTTTTATTTTAAGCTCCCACTATGTGGGAGGGGATTCCAGATAGCTGGAAATCCCCCCCCAAATTTTTTTAAGTACCTATCTTAGCCAGGCATGGTGGCTCATGCCTATAATCCCAGCACTTTGGGAGGGCAAGGCAGATCGCTTGAGGCTAGGAGTTCCTGACCAACCTGGGCAACATAGTGAGACCTCATCTGGGAAACAGTACAAGACCCTGTCTCTAAAATGAAATAAAAAATAAAATAAAATATAGTCCGGGCGCAGGGGCTCACGCCTGTAACCCCAGCACTTTGGGAGGCCGAGGCACGTGGATCATTTGAGGCCAGGAGTTCAAGACCAGTCCGGCCAACATTGTGAAACCCTGCCTCTACTAAAAAATACAAAAATCAACCGGGCGTGATGGCACACACCTGTAGTCCCAGCAACATGGGAGACTGAGGCAGGAGAATCACTTGAACCCGGGAGGCGGAGGTTGCAGTGAGCCAAGATTGTGCCATTGTACTCCAGCCTGGGTGACAGAGCAAGACTCTTTCTCAAAAATAAAAACAAATAAATGTAAATATTAAAAAATAAAATGAAATACAAATAGATAGCATTTCCTGTACTTACAAGGGCCCCGTTTCCATGGAGACATTGATATGGGCCTTGATTTTCAAGTCCTTCTGAATTTTAGGGTCACAGGCTTGACTGAAATTGCCCAGGAAGACCTTTCCCGGCACGATTTCAATGGGGTATGGCTGAAACGCATCCAGTTCCTGAGGTGTGGAAGGAGAAAGGCCGCTATGAGCACACTCCTCAGGGAATAGGGATGCTTGTCTCTTGAAACACAGCTCAGCAAACCGGCATGGAAGGGAAGTTCCGGGACAGTGACAGCGATGGAGATCCAAACTTTGAAAGAGACTGGCATGACTGTGTGGGAGCACAGCGCAAGTCACAACAAAAGCACTGAACCACGGTCTCACGGTGCAGAGCACGGGGTCTCAGCACTGGTGTCTGTTTCCCTCCATGGCACCTGTGTACACTTGGCCAGGTGCACAAAGGTTGTACTGAGGACGCTGCGGCCCAGAACTGTAACAACCCAGTGTGTACTGGGGGCTTGGGAGGATGGATGGAGAAGGACAGATCTCTTGTTATAATTTTTTTTTTTTTGTCCAAACCTCACAAACACACACATTTTTTTTGAGACAGCATTTCACTCTTGCTGCCCAGGCTGGAATGCAAGGGCGAGATCTCAGCCCACCGCAACCTCTGCCTCCCAGGTTCAAGTGATTCCCCTGCCTCACCCTCCCGAGTAGCTGGGACTACAGGCACATGCCACCATGTCCAGCTAATTTTTTATATTTTTAATAGAGATGGGGTTTCACCATCTTGGCCAGGAAGGTCTTGATCTCCTTACCTTGTGATCAGCCCGCCTCGGCCTACCAAAGTGTTGGGATTATGGCATGAGCCACCACGCCTGGCCCCACATAAATATTTTGAGACAGAGTCCCACTCTGTTGCCCAGGCTGGAGTGCGGTGGTGCGATCTTGGCTCACTGCAACCTCCGCCTCCTGGGTTCAAGAGATTCTCTTGCCTCAGCCTCCTGAGTAGTTGGGATTACAGGTGTGCACCACTACATCCAGCTAATTTTTGTGTATTTTTTGGTAGAGATGAGCTTTAGTTGTGCTGGCCAGGCTGGTCTTGAACTCCTGACCTCAAGTAACCCACCTGCCTTGGCCTCCCAAAGTGGGAGGCATGAGCCACCATGCTCAGCTTATCTCTTTCTTTTTTTTAAGATACAGGGTCTCACTCTGCTACCCAGACTGGAGTGCAAGTGGCTCAATCGCAGCTCTCTGCCGTCTTGACCTCCTGGGGTCAAGTGATTCTCCTGCCTCAGCCTCCCAGGTAGCTGGGACGACAAGTGCACATGACTACACCCAGATAATTTTGATACTTTTATCTTTTGCAGAGATGGGATCTCGCTATGCTGCCCAGGCTAGCCTCAAACTCCAGGCCTGCAGTGATCCTCCTGCCTCAGCCTCCCAAAGTGCTGGGATACAAATGTGAGCCACCTGCATGCCCAGAAATGAATTCTGATTAAGCCAGCGTATGTGTAGAGGGAACAAGACAACTACTTAAATGGGAGTTTCCTGAGTTCCAGGTCCAATGTTTTAATTAAAACTTTTGTTTATTTAAAACACAAAGTGAAGGATTATCTCTACATTTCCCTAAGTGTGTTCTAAGAAACACTAGTCCCCCATAAGGCACTATGAAAAAAGGCTTCAGGAGTTCAGATAACCAAATGCAATCTGCCCCCTCATCTGTGGGTTCCACATCCATGGATTCAAGCAACCTTGGATCAAAAATATCCAGAAAAAAAATTAATGGTTGTTACCAGGCACAGTGGCTCATGCCTGTAATCCCAGCACTTTGGGGGGCCAAGATGGGCAGATCACCTGTGGTCAGGAGTTCAAGACCAGCCTGACCAACATGGTGAAACCCCATCTTTATTAAAAAAAATTAAAAATTAAATTAAAAAATAAAAAAATTCATGGTTGTATCTGTACAGAACATGCACACACTTTTTTCTTGTCATTATTTCCTAAACAATACAGTATAACAATTATTTACATAGCATGCACATTGTATTAGTATTATAAATAATTTAGAGATTATTTAAGTATACAGGAGGGGCCAGGTGAGGTGGCTCACATCTGTAACCCCATCATTTTGGGAGGCCGAGGCAGGAAAAGCATCTGAAGTCAGGAGTTCAAGACCAACCTGGCCAACAACTGAAACCCTGTTTCCACTAAAAACACAAAAATCAGCTGGGCATGGTGGCGCAAGCCTGTAGTCCCAGCTACTCGGGAGGCTGAGGCAGGAAAACCGCTTGACCCTGGGAGGCAGAGGTTGCAGTCAGTCGAGATCGTGCCACTGCACTCCAGCCAGTCTCTTATGTAAAAAAGAAAACAAAAAAAGCCAGGCACCGTGGCTCATGCTTGTAATCCCAGCAGCACTTTGGGAGGCCAAGGCAGGTGGCTCACCTGAGGTCAGGAATTTGAGACCAGCCTGACCAACATGGTGAAACCCTGTCTCTACTAAAAATATAAAAATTAGCCAGATGTGGCAGTGCATGCCTGTACTCCAAGCTACTCAGGAGGCTGGGGCAGGAGAGTCGCTTGAACCTAAGAGGCAGAGGTTGCAGTGAGCTGGTATCATGCCACTGTACTCCAGCCTGGTGACAGAGTGAGACTCCGTCTAAAAAAGAAAAGAAAATGCTGACCTTTGCCAAAAATCAAAATCAGTTCCAAAAGTCCCCTGGCTCCAAGTCCTACTCAGGAACATCGTAAGGACCTCTGGCTACTTCACTGCTTGTGTGGGTCCTTCAGAGCCACCTGAACTCAGCGCACCTCATTCCTTTCCCCACAGCAGTGAACCCTCTGCAAGCCCACATCCTTGCCAAGCCACTAGCTTCAAAAGCCATTAGCAAAGAACAGACACCAAGCTGAGCCAGTTCTCAAGCCTGTACCACGGAGAGGCATGACCCCACTGCCTGCAGGCGGGCCCACTGCTTACTCCAGCGCGTGGGCTGCTCCTAACCGGAACATGCAGCCTGCTGGTGCCAAGTGAAATCCCCCTTTCAATTTCCACTTGAAAAATCTCACTAGAAGGCCAGGCATGGTGGCACACACTTGTAATCTGAGCACTCCGGGAAGCTGAGGTGCATGGATCACCTGAGGTCAGGAGTTTGAGACCAGCCTAGCCAACATGGTGAAACCCCATCTGTACTAAAAATACAAAAATTAGCCAGATGTGGTGGCACGTGCCTGTAATCCCAGCTACTCTGGAGGCTGAGGCAGGAGAATCACTTAAACCTGGGAGGTGGAGGTTGAAGTGAGCCAAGATCGTGCCACTGCACTCCAGCCTGAGCAACAGAGACACAGTCTCAAAAGAAAAAAAAAACCTGCAAAAATCCCATAGCAAATCTATCAACCCTCTTCCTGCTGTTTTGAAACCAGCTTCCTTTTCTGCGGTTGTGTGGGTTTGGCTGGGAAGAGGGCGTGGTGTGCATAAAAAAAAAACACCATACTGTAAATTGTGTGTGAATGCTCGGTGACACAATGCAAAGGAAATGAGTATCTCAAACGAATGTGGCCAAACTGAGTCCACTGCCTTTCCTCCTAAAACCACTTCTTCCCCGACCCCTCCCGAATGTGCCTCACAATGAACCATATCATAGCCCCCGTCACTGCCTAAGATCCAACATCATCCCAGAACACTCCCTCTCCCATGCCCTCATGTCTAATCAGTGCTACCTCCTGAATCTTTCTTATTTTTTTTTTTTTATGAGATGAAGCCTCGCTCTGTCACCCAAGCTGGAGTGCACTGGTATGATCTTGGCTCACTGCAACCGCCGCCTCCTGGGTTCAAGTGATTCTCCTGTCTCAGCCTCCCAAGTACGTGGGATTACAGGCATGTGCCACCATACCCAGGTAATTTTTGTATTTTTAGTAGAGACAGGGTTTCAACATGTTGCTCAGGTTGTGTGATTTCACCATGTTGCCCAGACCGGTCTTGAATCCTGACCTCAAGTGATCCACCACCTTGTCCTCCCAAAGTGCTGAGATCTTTCTTTTTTCTTAAGAGATGGGGTCTTGTTCTATCACTCAGGCTGGAGTTCAGGGGCACAATCATGGCTCACTGCAGCCTCAAAGTCCTGGGCTCAAGCGATCCTCCCACCTCAGCCTGAGTAGCTGGAACTATAGGTGTGCATCACAATGCCAAGCCATTTTGTTTTTTTAATTTTTGTATAAATAAGGTCTCACTATGTTGTCTCAAAGTCCTGGCCTCAAGCGATCCTCCCACCTCAGTCTCTGAGTAGCTGGAACTATAGGTGTGTATCACAATGCCAAGCCATTTTGTTTTTTTAATTTTTGTATAAATAAGGTCTCACTATGTTGTCTCAAAGTCCTGGCCTCAAGCGATCCGCCCACCTCTTTGACCTCCCAAAAGTCCTGGGATTCCAGGCTTGAGCCACCACAGCTGGCCAGTCACCTACATTCTAAAGATAACCACAGACAAGTAACCCAATCCAGCCTTCACAGACACCCCAGCCACAACCCTGCCCCCGCTTCCCGATTCTATAAGACTGGGGCAAAGGCGAGTTACAGGAATATGTGCAGTTCATCATGTCAATGACACCTTCCTAAAGCTGCAGAAATGAGGGGGCGGTGATGATTATCAGCAGTGTAGGCTTTGCAGAGAAGAAACTAATCGCTCTGCACCCTGCAAAGCCAGGGAAGGGTCCTCCAAGAGCAAGGAGGCATTCTAACCAAGAGAAGACTTGATGCAGAGTTGAGGCTGGAACGTTGAACTGCCCTGGCTTATGCTAGACTGACTGCCTTTACTTCCTTTAACTTATCGTACACCTGTTGAGCTGAAATTCACAGTGCTGTTATCTCAGTGGAAGAAGGGGATGTCTTTGGGAGCCAGACATGCATACCCTGGATCTGGGAACATGTCTGACCTCAGGCAGGAGTCCCTGCCTTATCACACAGGATCATTCTGGGGTTCTGGTGAAGGAATGTGGGCATGTGGGGCAGGGGACGGGCTTTCCTCTATACCCTCACCACCTTCTCACCTCATCCCGATTATTTGAAAGGAGACTCCAGACATCATGTCACTTCACCTGTAAATATTTTGTTCTGTATGTCTAAAAGATAGGGATTTGTACTTTTTAATTTTTTATTTGTATTTTCTTAGAGACGGGGTCTCACTATGTTGCCCAGGCTGGAGTGCAGTGGCTATTCACATGCGCGATTCCACTACTGATCAGCACGGGAGTTTTGACCTGCTCCATTTCCAACCTGGACCGGTTCACCCCTCCTTAGGTAACCTGGTGGTACCCCGCTCCCGGGAGGTCATCATATTGATGCCAAAATTAGTGCAGACACCCGATCGGCATAGCGCACTACAGCCCAGAACTACTGGGCTCAGGCGATCTCCAGCCTCAGCCTCCCGAGTAGCTGGGACTACAGGCACGTGCCACCATGCCTGGCGGGACATGCACTTTTTAATAACAACTATAATAATGTTGTTATGGTTTTAAACCATATTATTGGTTATTATGCTTAATCTTCCAATTGAAGACTGGAAGAATCTTCAATTCTTTCAATTATTTTTGAATTTGAAAAGCAACAATTCCTTAACACAAACATCCTGTGAATGGTCACATTTGCCATCAAAAGTGGCCAGAAAGTATGGAATCTGCTCAAGATGTTGCTAAGGGCAAGAATGGGAAGACAGCTGAAGGCGACTGTTAGAAAAAGTTAAAACCAGCCGGGTTTGGTGGCTCACGCCTGTAATCCCAGCACTTTGGGAGGCTGAGACAGGCAGATCATGAGGTCAGAAGATGGAGACCAGCCTGACCAACATGGTGAAACCCTGTCTCTGCATAAAAAAAAAAGAAATTATAATAGAGATGGGGTCTCACTATATCGCCCAGGCTGGTCTTGAACTCCTGATATCAAGCAATCCTCTTGCCTTGGCCTTCCAGAGTGCTAGGACTACAGGTGTGAGTCACCACACCTGGCTGATTTTCTTTCTTTCTTTCTTTCTTTTTTTTTTTGGAGACAGGGTCTTGCTCTGTCAACCATGCTGGAGAGCAGTGGCAAGATCTCGGCTCACTGCAACCTCTGCCTCCTGGGTTCCAGTGATTCTCCTGCCTCAGCCTCCTGAGTAGCTGGGACTACGGGTGGGCCACCACGCCCAGTGAATTTTTGTATTTTTGGTAGAGACAGGGTTTTGCCATGTTGCTCAGTTTAGTCTCAAACTCCTGAGCTCAAATAATCCAATCAACTCGGCCTCCCAAAGTAATGGGTTTATAGGTATAAGCCACCACACCGAGCTCCATTTTTTAAATGTTTTGTAGAGACGAGGTCTCACCACGTTGCCCAGGCTGGTCTCAAAAGTCCTGCGCTCAAGCAATCCATCTGCCTTGGCCTTCCAAAGAGCTAGGGATACAGGCATGAGCCGTGAGCCTGACCGATCCTTCCCACATGTCTGTATTTTTGTATCCTCCGGATCCAGTTAGGATTTGTGGAAGCAGACAGCCAAGAAAAAAGAGGTGGTCTCGGGCCGACATGCCCCTGACTGTCTGACGTTGGCATCAGTTCTCCATCCGGATCTCCCTCGGGAAGCCTGCCCTCTGAACAGGCCCCACCATTTGAACCATACAGCGATCAATTCCCCATAAAAAACTGGGGCCCAGCACAGTAGCTCACGCCCTAATTGCAGCACTCTGGGAGGCCAAGGTGGGTGGATCACTTAAAGTCAGGAGTTTGAGACCAGTCTGGGCAACATGATGAAACCCCGTCTCTACTAAAAATACAAAAAATAGCCAGGCATGGGGGTGCACACCTGTAGTCCCAGCTACTCAGGAGGCTGAGGCAGGAGAATCACGTGAACCTGGGAGGTGGAGGTGGTGGTGAGCCGAGATTACCCCAGCCTGGGCAACAGAGTGAGACTGTGTCTAAAAAAAAAAATAACAACCAAAAACTAGACCTGGACTCCTGGCAGCCCCATGTTCATTTCTGCAGCCCAGTCTCCCCCATCCCGTCCTCTTTCTCTACATCCTCTGTCCCATTCTCCTGTTTCTCCTATTCAGTCCCCCACTGGTCAGTTTCCAGGCCCCACCTTCCCATCTCGGCCTGCCTATGCTCAGCATTTTGCCCTACCTGAGGCATCCAGATGATCTTCTGGGTCCGGAAGAAGGGGTACATGCCTGAGAAACGCTCATAGCCCCCTTTCAGGATGTGGACGGGGTGGCAGGTGAGGCGGGTGAGGGTCCTGCCATACTGAATGGCTGCTCGAGGCATCACATCTGAGAGTGGAGACCAAAGACATGAATGTTTCCTGTGTATCTGCCATTAGTCTCGAGCTGGGATAGATGGTCACTTTCTTTTGAAATGCAATTTTTTTTTTGAGACAGAGTCTCACTCTGTCCCCCAGGTTGGAATTCAGTGGCACGATCTCGGCTCACTGCAACCTCTGCCTCCCTGGTTCAAGCAATTCTCCTAATTTTTAGTAGAGATGGGGTTTCACCATGTTGGCCAGGCTGGCCTTGAACTCCTGACCTCAGGTGATCCATCCTCCTTGGCCTCCCAAAGTGCTGTGATTACAGGTGTGAGCCACTGTGCCTGACCTGAAATGCAATTATTTAGGAAGATGAAACAAGCATAGAGATGAGTTACAATTAAAATTTTAAAAGCAGCTTACCACCAGGTTTTTTGTTTTTTGGGTTTTTTTCGAGACAGGGTCTCACTCTATCTGGCTGGAGTACAGTGGTGCAATCTCAGCTCACTGCAACCTCTGCCTCCTGGGCTCACGCCATCCTCCTGCCTCAGCCTCCAGAGTAGCTGGGTCCACAGGTGCACACACCACATCTGGCTTAATTTTGTATTTTTTTTTTGTAGTGTCACTTTTTTTAATAAAAAAACATGGAAGGCTTCATGAATTTGCATGTCGTCCTTGCGCAGGGGCCGTGCTGATCTTCTCTGTAGCATTCCAGTTTTAGTACATGTGCTGCTGAAGCGAGCACCGTAGTGTCACTTTTTTTAATAAAAAAGCATGGAAGGCTTCATGAATTTGCGTGTCGTCCTTGCGCAGGGGCCGTGCTAATCTTCTCTGTAGCATTCCAGTTTTAGTACATGTGCTGCTGAAGCGAGCACCATAGTGTCACTTTTTTGCCCAGGTTGGTCTCGAACTCCTGAACCCAAGTAATCTGCCTGCCTCAGCCTCCAAAGTGCTGAGATTACAGGCATGAGCCACCATGCCCAGCCTAGGTTAGTCTTTTCTGCAAACTCTGAGATATATGTATCATATGACAGACAACATCATACAATACAACGTCATGGAAAAATCTGAGTTTTACAGGAACTCCTAGCTCCAGTTAACCACTCACATGTATACATATGGTTTACATACTATGTATGTACATTTTAATGTACATATATGTGATATAATATGTAAACCGTATGTTGTATATCATAAAAATTCACCCATTTAAAATGTACAATTCAAAACACATAGACCAACTGAACAAAATAGATAACCCAGAAATAAAGCCACACCTATAACCTATAGGTGTGAGGAAACACACCTATAACCACCAAGTCTTCAACAAACTTGACAAAAGTAAGCGATAGAGGCTGGGTTTGGTGGCTCACACCTGTAATCCCATAATCTTGGAAGGCACAGGCAGAGGACTGCCTGAGCCCAGGAGTTTGACACTGGCCTAGGCAACTGGCAAGACCCCATCTCCATCCCCCCCACCAAAAACACAAAAAAAATTAGTTGAGTGTGGTTGTGGGCACCTGCAGTTTCAGCTACTAGGGAGGCTGAGGCAGGAGGATCACCTGAGCCAGGGAGATTGAGGCTGTAGTGAGCCATGGTTGTGCCACTGCACTCCAGAGTGCAGTGCAAGACAGAGTAAGACCCTGTCTCAAAAAACTAGGAAGGGGGAAAGGACTCCTTATTATTGGTCAATAAATGGTACTAAGATAACTGAGTATCCGTATGCAGAAGAATGAAACTGGACCCTAGCACCGTATGCAAAGATCAACTCCAGATAGGTTAAAGACTCAAATGGAGCACCTCAGAATGATAGACATCCTGAAAGAACAGCTAAGAAATACCCTTCTCGACGCTGGCCTCAAGTCCCTCAAAGCAACTGCAACAAAAACAAAAATTGACAGTGGGACCTAATTACACTAAAGCGCTTCTGCACAGCAAGAGAAGCTACCAGAGTAAACAGCCTGCAGAAAGGGAGGAAATATTCACAAACTATGCTTCTAACAAAAGTCTAACATCCAAAATCTACAAGGAACCTAAGAAGCCAAACAAACAACCTATGATCGTTAAGACTGTCAACCTGATTGGATTGGAGGACGCAAAGTATTGGTCCTGGGTGTGTCTGTGAGGGTGTGGCCAAGGGAGATGGGGAAGGCAGACCCACCTGCAATCTGGGTGGGCACCCACTAATCAGCTGCCAGCGCAGCTAGAATATGAAATAAGCAGAAAAACGTGAGAAGCCTAGACTGGCCTAGCCTCCCAGCCTACACCTTTCTCCCCCGCTGGATGCTTCCTGCCGTCAAACATCGGACTCCAAGTTCTTCTGCTGTGGGATTCGGATTGGCTTCCTTGCTCCTCAGCTTGCAGACAGTTAATCATGAGTTAATACTCCTTCATAAACTCCCCTTTATATGTGTGTGTGTGTGTTAGGGTGTGTGTGTGTGTTGGGTGTGTGTGTGTGTTAGGGTGTGTGTGTGTGTTAGGGTGTGTTAGGGTGTGTGTGTGTGTTAGGGTGTGTGTGTGTTAGGGTGTGTGTGTTGGGGTGTGTGTGTGTGTTAGGGTATGTGTGTATGTTAGGGTGTGTGTGTATTAGGGTGTCTGTGTGTGTTAGGGTGTGTGTGTGTTAGGGTGTCTGTGTGTGTTAGGGTGTGTGTGTGTTAGGGTGTGTGTGTGTGTGTTAGGGTGTGTGTGTGTGTTAGGGTGTGTGTGTGTTGGGTGTGTGTGTTACGGTGTGTGTGTGTGTGTTACGGTGTGTGTGTGTTAGGGTGTCTGTGTTAGGGTGTGTGTGTGTTAGGGTGTCTGTGTGTTAGGGTATGTGTGTGTGTTAGGGTGTGTGTGTGTGTTGGGTGTGTGTGTTAGGGTATATGTGTTAGGGTGTGTGTGTTAGGGTGTGTGTGTTAGGGTGTGTGTGTTAGGGTGTGTGTGTTAGGGTGTCTGTGTGTTAGGGTGTCTGTGTGTTAGGGTATGTGTGTGTGTTAGGGTATGTGTGTGTGTTAGGGTGTGTGTGTGTGTTGGGTGTGTGTGTGTTGGGTGTGTGTGTTAGGGTATATGTGTTAGGGTGTGTGTGTGTATATATATATTTATCTATATCTCCTATGATATAAATTTACATCCTTTAATATATATATCCTGTAATAGAACATAGACATAGATATATACACCCTAATACACAACTCTATTAAAAAGTGGGCAAAGGACATAATAGATACTTTGCTCTTGAAGATATACAGGTAGCCAACGAACATCAAAAAATGCTCGACATCGCTAATCATCAGAGAAATGCAAATCAAAACCGCAATGAGATACCTTCTCACACCAGTCAATGGCTTTTATTAGAAAGCCAAAAATAATAGATGTTGACAGGGCTGTGGCCAAAGGAACACTTAGATACTGTTGGTGGGAATGTGAATTAGTTCAGCCCCTGTGGAAAGGAGTTTGGAGACTTCTTTCTCAAAGAACCAAAAATAGAACTACCATGTGGCTGAGCACGGTGGCTCACGCCTGTAATCCCAGCATATTGGGAGGCCAAGGCAGGTGGATCATGAGGTCAAGAGATCAAGACCATCCTGGTCAACATGATGAAACCCCATATTTACTAAAAATATAAAAATTAGCTGGGCATGATGGCATGTGCCTTGTAGTCCCAGCTACTCAGGAGGCTGAGGCACTAGAATCACTTGAACCCGGGAGGCAGAGGCTGAAATGAATTGAGACCATTTCACTCCAGCCTGGCAACAGAGTGAGACTCCATCCAAAAAAAAAAAAAAAAATTACCATTGAACTCAGCAATCCCATTACTACGTGCACGTCCAAAGGAAAATATAGTTATGCCAAAAGGACACCTGCACCCGCATGTTCACTGCAGCACTATTCACAACAGCAAATACTTACAGTCAACTCAAGGGCCCGTCAACAACCAACTGGATTTTTTTTTTTTTTTTTTTGAGATGGAGTGTCACTCTTGTTGCCCAGGCTGGAATGCAATGGCACAATCTTGGCTCAATGCAACCTCCAGCTCCCTGGGTTCTGTAAGGTCTTTTATTCTGACAGACAGTTCTATGGACGCCACGTTACCTTCTGTGACCTGTGCAGACACCCCAGATGAGTTCCTGGAAAATCTAAAGCAACAAGAAGACCATGAAGAGAGGAAAAAAAAGATCAACCCCTGTGGCGCCCACTTACCCGAGATATTCTCTACAGTTCCTTATTCTGGCCCTAACTGATAAGGCGACTGGACTTTGGAACCGACCTTGGTCAACCCTAGGACCCTACTCCACACCCTATGATCCCCTCCCAGCCTGCAAAAAACCACCTTAAACTGTAACTTTCCACTGCCCACCCAAACCTATAAAACCAACTTCTATCCCTCCGCCCTTTGCAGCCTCAGCCCTCCTGCACCCAGGTGAATAATGAGCCATGTAGCTCACGGAAAGCCGGTTTGGGGGCTCTTTTCATTCAGCACGCACATTTTAACAGATTCGAGCAATTCTTCTACCTCAGCCTCCTGAGTAGCTGGGATTACAGGTATGTGTTACCATGCTGGGCTAATTTTTGTATTTTTAGTAGAGATGGGGTTTCACTATGTTAGCCAGGTTAGTCTCGAACTCCTGACCACAAGTGATCCACCCAGCTTGGCCTGCCAAAGTGCTGGGATTACAGGCATGAGCTACCGTGCCCGGCCCCGGATTGGATTTTTAAAATATGGTACACATGCATCATGGAATACTAGGCGGACATAAAAAAAGAACAGAATCATGCCCTCTGCAGCACCTCCAGCTAGAGGCCATTATCGTAAAGGAACTAACACAGAAATAGAAAACCAGATACCACATGTTCTCATTTATAAGCACAAGCTAAACATCAGGTACATATAGAAATGAAGATGCAGATGGCCAGATGTGGTGGCTCACGCCTGTAATCCCAGCATTTTGGGAGTTGGATCACCTGAGGTCAGGAGTTCAAGACCAGCCTGGCCAACATGGTGAAAACCAATCACTACTAAAAATACAAAATCAGCCAGGTGTGGGGGCACATACCTGTAATCCTTGCTACTCGGGAGGCTGAGGCAGGACAATTGGTTTGAACCCGGGAGTGGCAGGTTGCAGAGAGCTGAGATCACGCCATTGCACTCCAGCCTGGGCAACAGAGCGAGACTTGGTCTCAAAAAAAAAAGAAAGAAAGAAAGAAAGATGCAAACAACAGACCCCTAAAGAATACCAGGAGGAAGAAAAGAAAGGGACAAGGGTTGAAAAACTACCTACTGGGGCCGGGGATGGTGACTCACACCTGTAATCCTGGCACTTTGGAAGGCTGAGGCAGGCGGATCACCTGAGGCCAGGAGTTCAAGACCAGCCTGGCCAAGACGGTGAAAACCAATTCCTACTAAAAATACAAAATCAGCCAGGTGTGGTGGCGCGTAGCTGTAATCCTAGCTACTCGGGAGGCTAAAGCAGGAGAATCACTTGAACCCAGGAGGTGGAGGCTACAGTGAGCCGAGATTACGTCACTGCACTCCATCCTGAGCAGAAAGGGCAAAACTTTGTCTCAATTGAAAAAAAAAAAAAAAAAAGGGAAAAAGCAAATTCTCCTGCCTTCTGAGTAACTGGGATTACAGGCATGTACCACCATGGCTGGTGGTACATGGGCACCTATTATATATACCTGTTGTGTGCTATGCTCACTACCCGGGTGATGGGTTCAATCCAACTTCAAACCTTAGCATCACATGATACACTACAGTAACAAAATCGTGTATGTACCCCTGAATCTACAACTGGAAAAAACACAATTCAGTGACTTTTAGTATATTCGGAGTTGTACAACCATCCCACAATCCATTTTAGAACATTTTCTTATACTTTTATTATTTATTTAAGATGGAGTCTCACTATGTTGCCCAGGCCGGTCTTGAACTCCTGGGCTCAAACAATCCTCCCACCTCCACCTCTCAAAGTGCTGGGATTACAGGTGTGAACCACTGCACCCAGCCTTATTCCTTTTTATGGCTGAGTAATATTCCACTATGTGGACAGACCACATCCTGTTCCACCCATTTAGCTACTGATAGACACTTTGGCTATTATGAACAACACTGTATGAACATTCATGTAAAAGCTTTGGTGCAGCTGAGTTTTCACTTCTTTGGGGTCTAGATCTTAACCTTCTGAAGAAACGCCAAGCAGTTTCCCACTGTGGCTGCACCATTTTACCTTGTGGTTAGCAGGGCATGAGGCTTCCAATGTCTCCATGTTCTCAACATCACTTCTTATTACCCGTCTCTTTGATTATGACCATCCTAGTGGGCGTGAATGATATGTCACCGTGGTGTTGACATCAGTTTAATCTTAAACACCGTCACTGACCAGCAGAATCACAATTAGACTGCATGTGAATCAGATATGTGCGACAGGAAGCTTGCATAATTAGGGCTAAGCCAAGACATCCTTAAGCCAAAATATCCTGAGGCCAGGTTCTAACCCAGAAACAGAAATATTGAACGTTGTGCAATGGATTTCCAAGAATGAGATAAAGGGATAAAGGAAGGAACATGGACTCTAACTTCTTTTAAAAAAAAAAAGAAAGAAAGAAAAAGAAAACACTGCTGGGCACAGTGGCTTACGCCTGTAATCCCAGCACTTTGGGAGGACGAGGTGGGCAGATCACCTGAAGTCAGAAGTTCAAGACCAGCCTGGACAATATAGCAAAACCCCATCTCTACTAAAAATACGAAAATTAGCCAGGTGTGGTGGCACATGGCTGTAATCCCAGCTACTCAGGAGGCTGATGCAGGAGAATCGCTTGAATCCTGGAGTCAGAGGTTGCAGTGAGCCAAGATCACATCATTGCACTCCAGCCTGGGCAACAAGAGCAAAACTCCATCTCAAAAAAATAAAAATAGAAAATAAATTTTTTTTTAATGTTTTATTTATTTTTGAGACTGGGTCTTACTATATGTTACCCAGGCTGGAGTCCTAGCTCACTGTAGCCTTGACCTTCTGGGCTTAAGTGATCTTCCTGCTTCAGCCTCCTGAGTAGCTGGGGCTATAGGCGTGTACCACCATCCCTGGCTAAATTTTTTTTGTATTTTTGGTAGAGCCGAGCCTTGCCATGTTGCCCAGGCTGGTTTCAAACTCATGGCTTCAAGTGATCCTAATGCCTCAGGCTCACAAAGTGCTGAGACCATGGTTATGAGTCATCGTGCCTGGCCAACTCTGCTCCCATATTGAATTTTTGTTCAGGGAGACAAAGGCAATTCCAGAAGGGGCTGAGGAGGTTATAATTGGCTGGGATCTGTCTGAGAGATGGCACTGAGAGGAAGAATCTGAAGTCTGCAGCCAGGCTGAGAGAAAATCTGCAGCTGTCAAGACGGGAGCCAAAGCCCACCCCACAGGGCCTGGCTCAGAAGTCAGAGTCCAGGCCAGGCATGGTGGCTCATGCCTGTAATCCCAGCACTTTGGGAGGCCAATACAAGAGAACTCCTTGAAGCCAAGAGTTCAAGACCAGCCTGGGCAACAGAGTGAGACGCTGACTAAAAAAAAAGGAAAGCGGGATGTTGAGAGAAGCCTTGAGATGGTCTTGTAACCCCAAAGACTTTGCGATGACCTGAAGGATGACATTTGAAAAAAGAAAAGTTGCCTTGAGTGCCCAAGTTGTCCCGCGTGGTTGTGGTTTCCTGTGAATGGGAGCCCCAGAGCAAAGTGAGGTCAGTTACAGAACCTAAAGGGGCTTATCCCTGCTAAGCACCATCTGCTAGGATTTCAAGGTCCAGCCTACAGTCCTAAGATTGCTGACCAGAGCCCCACAGGATGAGCTTAGGAATAAAGGGAGAAATTCCTAGCCAAGGATCTCCTGGGGAAAAAAAAAGTCCAGACCGCTGGTATTATGAAAGATGGAAGCATAGTGCCACCTAGTGGCAGTTAGTGTGAGTGCACCCAGCTTCCGTAACTGCACCCACACATGTTCATTGGCTGCTCATTCCTAGAAGCAGAGCTCCCAGTGGTCAGCCCAAAACTAGGGGCTCATGAAGAACACAGCAGAGCCTCAGAGGTTCAATGGAGCACACTGGAACTGACCGCACTTTATGGTTCTGACTCAGGGCTGCACGCTCCCAATCCCCAGGAGACAAGACAGAGCCGAAAGGTCTGGGTTTGAATCCTGGCCCCACCACTTATAGGTGTGATGGTTTAAAAATATGTCCACACACTTTTAAAAGCTTAAGTCTCAGCCTATGCAACACAACAAGACCCAGTCCCTACAAAAAAAGGAAATAAATGAGCTGGGAGCCAAATCTCAGCATATCACCCCAACTGGTCTTGAACTCCTGGGCTCAGGTGATCCTCCTGCCTCAGCCTCCCAAAGTGCAGGGATTACAGGTATGAGTCACTGGGCCCGGCACCCTCACAGCTCTTGATGTTAGCGTCCCTGTAAGTTGTGCTGCAGACTACGTGAACAGATCCAGGTGAAGCACTTGCTTCCTGGCGCATGGCACACGTGAGACTGTCCCCATACATGTTATGAAATTAATTAGGAAAGGAAGCAGGGAAACAAATGGAAATAAGCCATGTCGGCAGCACATTCAGCCTTCCTTACTAGGTCACCCCGCTTGTCTCCAACCTGCTTGCTCACAGCTGCTTGATGCTGATTGTCCTGGAATCACACAGACCCTGTTACAAGAACACAGTTCCCCTTCCCTGCTCTGTAGATGACAACTTGAACGTCATGAAACGCTGTTTTCCCTTGGAGATATTATTTCAGGTCTTGCATACTGATGAAACCACTGACAGCTGGTCTGAAGGGCCCCCCAAGAGCTGACTCACCAAAGAACACAGTTTCCACATCCCAATGACTTCGTTCCCTTTCCTCCACCAATCAATAACCCCAACTTTCCAGCCCCTCACCCTTCCCAACCTCCTTAAAAGCCCCATTCTGGCCGGGTGCGGTGGCTCACACCTGTAATCCCAGCACTTTGGGAGGCCGAGGCAGGCAGATCACAAGGTCAAGAGATCGAGACCATCCTGGCCAACATGGTGAAACCCTGTCTCTACTAAATTACAAAAATTAGTTGGGCATGGTGGCATGCACCTGTAGTCCCAGCTACTTGGGAGGCTGAGATAGGAGAATCACTTGAACCAGGGAGGCAGAGGTTGCAAAGCTGCAGTGAGCAGAGATAGTGCCATTGCACTCCAGCCTGGCAACAGAGCAAGACTCCATCTCAAAAAAAAAAAAAAAAAAAAAACCACCATCACCACCACCAAGAAAACCCATTCCACAACTCCTTGGGGAGATGGATTTGAGGGCCTCTGTCCATCTCCTTGCTTGGTATCCTGTGATCACGAAGCTCTTTCTCTGATGCAAACCCTGCTGTCTCAGTGTCATTGGCCTGTTCCCACATATGAACTTGTTGGTCCTATAACAAATTTGTCCAATAGCCATTACCTATTATTCTTGCTGCTGTCACAGAAAACCCACCTTTGACAGCACTATCCGAGTCTGAACCATCATCATCATCTTTTAAGAGTACCTCCAGAGTGCTGGTGTTGTTATCATACACCACGCAGTACTTCACACACTCCAGGTCCACAGACTCCGGGAGAAGATATTCATTCATTTTCTTAAAAAAACACAAGAGAGGCCTGTTGGTGGGCAAGTTTGGCTGAGCAGACTCCTTGCATACCAGCACTGTGGGGAGCTAAGACTGCATTCTCTCGCCTGACTACAGACACAGGCACAGAAGCACTGAGACAGTGGATGGAGAACCTGTTAAATCCCTCCACAACTATGTCCCCTTCTGATAAAAGCTGACCACAGCTGACTGGACCAGAGAGAAGTGCCTGACCAAAGAACCACTGGTCTTGGCCGGGCGTGGTGGCTCACACCTGTAATCCCAGCACTTTGGGAGGCCGAGGCGGGTGGATCACGAGATCAAGAGATCAAGACCATCCTGGCCAACACGGTGAAACCCCGTCTCTATATAGAATTTTATTGTTTTTTTTTTTTTTAAACAAAAAGAATGGCTGGACTGCTGACTGGTCCACAGCCTGTTAGGTGCCCTGGTGTCAGAGAAACTATGGTCAATTGAATTGTGACATCCTGTCTCATAGAGAGAGTGTTTGGCACAGGAGGCTGAATCTAGAAGCACCAGACTGGATGTGGGGGTTTGCACCTGTAGTCCCCGCACTTTGGGAGGCCAAGACAGGAGGACTGCTTGAGGCCAGGAGTTCGAGACCAGCCTGGGCAACACAGCAAGACCCCTGTCTCTATGAAAAAAAAAATACAAAAATCAGCCAGGCATGGTGGCATGTTCCTATAGTCCCAGCTACTCAGGAGGCTGAGGTGGGAGGATCACTTGAGCCCAGGAGATGGAGGCTGCAGTGAGCTGTGATTGTGTCACTGCACTCCAGCCTGGGTGACAGAACAAGACCCTGTCCCAAAACAACAACAAAAACAAAACAAAAAACACCCAAAAAGAAGGCAGTAAGTAGACAGTGTGTAGAAGCAGAAGTGATGAGTGAGCAGAAGGAATGAGATGAACTGGAAGATCAAATACAGCTGGTCATGGTGGCTCATGCTGAGGCTGAGGTGGGAGGATCGCTTGAACCCTGGAGTTCACTGCAAGGCTGCAGTGAGCTACGACTGCAACACTGCACTCAAGCCTGGGTGACAGAGTAAGACTGTCTCGAAAAAACAAAAACAAAACCAAAAACAGAAACAGACACTATGGATAATAAGGTGTACTACCAATTTGATTAGGAGTATGCACAAAAGAGGGACTTATTGGCAGGTAACACTCCAGGCAAGGCAAAGATGCAGCCGGTTTCCAAACCTAAACAAGCTGGCTTTAGGACCCAGAGACCCTAAAGGCCAGATCTCCTTTGAGCTCTCCTCCTCTCCCCTTTGCCCTGCACACTGACTTCCCCTTCTCAGAGGATTTCCTCCAGAGGCTTGAGCCACACACCCCGGCAATGCTCAGACTCCTGTCTTCCCAGTTCCACCACCAGGCTGGACAGAGATACCCTTCTCTAATTCCAATTCTGATTGGCTCAGCTTTCATCCCAGACCCATGACCAATCACTGCGGCCAGGGTCCTGACCCATGACCAATCACTGCGGCCAGGGTCCTGACCCAGGACCAATCACTGCGGCCAGGGTCCTGACCCAGGACCAATCACTGCGGCCAGGGTCCTGACCCAGGACCAATCACTGCGGCCAGGGTCCTGACCCAGGACCAATCACTGCGGCCAGGGTCCTGACCCAGGACCAATCACTGCGGCCAGGGTCCTGACCCAGGACCAATCACTGCGGCCAGGGTCCTGACCCAGGACCAATCACTGCGGCCAGGGTCCTGGATATGATTTTATGTTACATTAAAGACAGGGTCTCACTGTGTTGCCCAGGCTGGACTGCAGTGGTGCAGTCATAGCTCATTGCAGCCTTGAACTCCTGGGCTCAGATGATCCTCCCACTTCAGCCTCCTGAGTGGCTGGGACCACGGGCACACACCACCACGCCTGGCTAATTTATATCTCTCTATATATATATATTTGAAGACACAAAAAAGCCAGGTGTGGTGGGGTGTACCCGTAGTCCCAGCTACTCGGGAGGCTGAGGTGAGCAGATCACTTGAGCCTTGGAGGTGGAGACTACAGTGAGCTCTGATTGTACCACTGTACTCCAGCCTGGGTGACAGAGCAAGACCTGTCTCAAAACATTAACAACAAGGCCAGGCGCAGTGGCTCATGCCTGTAATCCCAGCACTTTGGGAGATCAAGGCAGGCAGAGTACCTGAGGCCAGGAGTTCGAGATCAGCCTGGCCAACAGGGTAAAACCCCGTCTCTACTAAAAATACAAAAATTAGCTGAGTGTGGTGGTATATGCCTGTAGTCCCAGCTACTCAGGAGGCTGAAGCTGAGGCAGGAGAATGGATTGACCTTAGGAGGCAGAGGTTGCAGTGAGCCGAGATCACATCACTGCACTTGAGCCTGGGTAACAGGGTGAAACTCTTTTGGAAAACAACAACAACAAACACTCAAAAAGAAGGCAGTAAACAAATGCCTTCTGGGGTCCCACTGTGTTGTCCAGGCTGGTCTTGAACTCTTGGACACAAGTGGTCTCAGACCAGCTCAGCCTCCGAAGGTGTTGGGATTACAGGCACAAGCCACTGCACCTGGCCAGGATGTTACTTTAGAGAGTGCCTCTAGAAACCCACGGTTTGAGCAGAGAGAGAAGGTGCCCCCAAAATGGGGGAGGTACTGGGCGGAAAAACAAAAGATGCTCACCACACCCACTTTTCGGGAACGAGACACTACTACCATATTAAAAATACAAATCAAGCCAGGCCTGGTGCTCAGGCCTGTCGTCCCAGGACTTTGGGAGGCTGAGGAGGGAGCATCGCTTGAACCCGGGAGTTCAAGACCAGCCTGGGCAACATAGTGAGACCCCATCTCTACAAGAAATACAATTTAGCTGAGTATGGTGGTGCACGCCGATGGTCCCAGCTACTGGGAAGGCTGAGGTGGGAGGATTGCTTGATCCTAGGAGTTCAAAGCTGCAGTGAGCAGTGATGGCGCCACTGCACTCCAGCCTGGGTGACAGAGTAAGACCCCGTCTCCAAACAAAACAAAGAAACAAATAAGAAACAGGCTGGGCAAGGTGGCTCACACCTGTAATCCTAGCACTTTGGGAGGCCAAGGCAGGCAGATTGCCTGAGCTCAGGCGTTCAAGACCAGCCTGGGCAACATGGTAAAACCCCATCTCTACTAAAATACCAAAAAAAAAAAAAAAAAAAAAAAAAAATTAGCCGGCTGTGGTGGCGCATGCCTGTAGTCCCAGTTACTCAGAAGGCTGAGGTGAGAGAATTGAACCCAGGAGGCAGAGTTGCACTGAGCTGAGATCGCGCCACTGCACTCCAGCCTGGGCAAGAGAGCAGCACTTCATACAAATCAACGGTAGGACATATCCTGTTTTCAAAAAATGTTAGAGCATGGGATACACATGCATCACAGAAGCGAGGAAGCGTGGCAGCACAGCGCTGCTGAGACGTCGGTGGGAGCGGACGTGACTGTGGATGACGCTGGAGAGAGATGTGGTCAGATCCAAGAAGGCTGAGAACACAGAGATTGGAGACTTTCTGCCCTGCTGGGGCTGGGGCTGGGGATGCCCTGAAGGCCTCAATCTGCAAACTGGGACTTTAGGGAGGGAAGACAAGAGCTGTCAGCCTAAATGAGAGGTGCTGAGGGGCAGAAGCGGAGAGAATGTCTCTTTCCCAGAGCAGGAGGTACTGCCAGAATCAAAGAAATGCGCAGAGTTGAGAGCTCAGTGGGAACAGAGGCCCATACACCACGAGGCTGCTCTGAATAGGCTGAAGAAAGAAGCCTTCGATGGGGATTAAGAGTGAGATGGTGGCCGGGTGCGGCGGCTCACACCTGTAATCCCAGTGCTTTGGGAGGCTGAGGCAGGCGGATCACTTGAGATCAGGAGTTCGAGACCAGCCTGGCCAACATGGCAAAACTCCATCTCTACTAAAAATACAAAAATTAGTCGGGCATGGTGGTAGGTGCCTGCAACCCCAGCTAGGTGGCAGACTGAGGCAGGAGAATTGCTTGAAGCTGGGAGATGGAGGTTGCAGTGAGCCGAGATCGCAACACTGCACTCCAGCCTGCGCAGATAGAACAAGATTCTGTCTCAAAAAAAAAAAAAGACAAAAAGACAATAATGATGAATTGGGACAGAAAAATATCCTGGGAAAATACACCCTGCCCATGCTCCCTGCCGAGTCACTGAGTTAGGTGTAGATAAAGCAGCAGAGATGGGGTCTGTAAGAGTACAGTGGGAATGGGGAGTAAAGGAGAATTTTTGAAGACGATTTTATTTTATTATTTTTGAGGCAGGGTCTTGCTCTGTCACCCAGGCTGGAGTGCAGTGGTGCGACTGACCTCTTGGGCTCAAGTGATCCTCCCACCTCAGCCTCCCAAGTAGCCAGTGCTACAGATGTGCACCACCACACTGAGCTAATCTTTCAATTTTTTGTAGAGACAGGAGTCTTGCTACGTTGCCCAGGCTGGTTTTGAACTCCCAGACTCAAGCAATTCTCCCGTCTTGGCCTTCCAAAGTGCTAGGATTAGAGGTGTAAACCACCACGCCCAGCACAAAATTTTAGAAGTAAACTTGACAGGACTGCTAATTGCCCATGCATACATCATGCAGCTGTAAGTTCCAGTGAAACCTCTGGCAAGAAAGTACCCTGACAGATATGGAGATCAAGGACAGACCAACGGTTATCTTCAGGTGGCAGAAGGAGAAAATGAAGGTGACCTGGCAGGGCACCGGGGCTCACACCTGTAATCCCAGCACTTTGGGAGGCTACAGGCACATGGAACACAAAGTCAGGAGCTTGAGACCAGCCTGGCCAACATGGTGAAACCCTGTCTCTATTAAAAATACAAAAAATTAGCCGAGTGTGGAGGTGCCTGACTGTAATCCCAGCTACTCAGGAGGCTGAGGCAGGAGAATTGCTTGAACCCGGAAAGTGGAGATTGCAGTGAGCCAAGATCACACCACTGCACTCCAGCCTGGGGGACAGGGTGAGACTCTGTCCCAAAAAAAAAAAAGAAAGAAAGAAAATGACGGTGGACCAAAGAGATAGAAAATAACAAAGAAGTCAAAGAGAACCTCCAAGTGAAGGACAGAGAATGCGATGAGGACTGAGGAGGGCAGAGAACGCGATGGGGACTGAGGAGGACAGAGAACGCGATGAGGACTGAGGAGGACAGAGAACGCGATGGGGACTGAGGAGGACAGAGAACGCGATGGGGACTGAGGAGGACAGAGAACGCGATGGGGACTGAGGAGGGCAGAGAACGCGACGGGGACTGAGGAGGACAGAGAATGCGATGAGGACTGAGGAGGGCAGAGAACGCGATGGGGACTGAGGAGGACAGAGAACGCGATGAGGACTGAGGAGGACAGAGAACGCGATGGGGACTGAGGAGGACAGAGAACGCGATCGGGACTGAGGAGGGCAGAGAACGCGATGAGGAATGAGGAGGACAGAGAACGCGACGGGGACTGAGGAGGACAGAGAACGCGATGGGGACTGAGGAGGACAGAGAACGCGATGAGGACTGAGGAGGACAGAGAACGCGATGGGGACTGAGGAGGACAGAGAACGAGACGGGGACTGAGGAGGACAGAGAACGCGACGGGGACTGAGGAGGACAGAGAACGCGACGGGGACTGAGGAGGGCAGAGAACGTGATGGGGACTGAGGAGGGCAGAGAACGCGATCGGGACTGAGGAGGACAGAGAACGTGATGGGGACTGAGGAGGGCAGAGAACGTGATGGGGACTGAGGAGGGCAGAGAACGCGATCGGGACTGAGGAGGACAGAGAACGTGATGGGGACTGAGGAGGGCAGAGAACGCGATCGGGACTGAGGAGGGCAGAGAACGCGATCGGGACTGAGGAGGGCAGAGAACGCGATCGGGACTGAGGAGGACAGAGAACGTGATGGGGACTGAGGAGGGCAGAGAACGCGATCGGGACTGAGGAGGGCAGAGAACGCGATCGGGACTGAGGAGGGCAGAGAACGCGATCGGGACTGAGGAGGGCAGAGAACGTGATCGGGACTGAGGAGGGCAGAGAACGTGATGGGGACTGAGGAGGGCAGAGAACGCGATCGGGACTGAGGAGGGCAGAGAACGCGATGGGGACTGAGGAGGGCAGAGAACGCGATCGGGACTGAGGAGGACAGAGAACGTGATGGGGACTGAGGAGGGCAGAGAACGTGATGGGGACTGAGGAGGGCAGAGAACGCGATCGGGACTGAGGAGGACAGAGAACGTGATGGGGACTGAGGAGGGCAGAGAACGCGATCGGGACTGAGGAGGGCAGAGAACGCGATGGGGACTGAGGAGGGCAGAGAACGCGATCGGGACTGAGGAGGACAGAGAACGTGATGGGGACTGAGGAGGGCAGAGAACGCGATCGGGACTGAGGAGGGCAGAGAACGCGATGGGGACTGAGGAGGGCAGAGAACGCGATGGGGACTGAGGAGGGCAGAGAACGCGATCGGGACTGAGGAGGGCAGAGAACGCGATGGGGACTGAGGAGGGCAGAGAACGCGATGGGGACTGAGGAGGGCAGAGAACGCGATGGGGACTGAGGAGGGCAGAGAACGCGATGGGGACTGAGGAGGACAGAGAATGCGATCGGGACTGAGGAGGGCAGAGAACGCGATCGGGACTGAGGAGGGCAGAGAACGCGATGGGGACTGAGGAGGACAGAGAATGCGATGGGGACTGAGGAGGGCAGAGAATGCGATCGGGACTGAGGAGGGCAGAGAACGCGATGGGGACTGAGGAGGGCAGAGAACGCGATGGGGACTGAGGAGGGCAGAGAATGCGATCGGGACTGAGGAGGGCAGAGAACGCGATGGGGACTGAGGAGGGCAGAGAACGTGATCGGGACTGAGGAGGGCAGAGAACGCGATGGGGACTGAGGAGGGCAGAGAACGCGATGGGGACTGAGGAGGACAGAGAATGCGATCGGGACTGAGGAGGGCAGAGAACGCGATGGGGACTGAGGAGGGCAGAGAACGCGATCGGGACTGAGGAGGGCAGAGAACGCGATGGGGACTGAGGAGGGCAGAGAACGCGATGGGGACTGAGGAGGACAGAGAATGCGATCGGGACTGAGGAGGACAGAGAACGCGATGGGGACTGAGGAGGGCAGAGAACGTGATCGGGACTGAGGAGGGCAGAGAACGCGATGGGGACTGAGGAGGGCAGAGAACGCGATCGGGACTGAGGAGGACAGAGAACGCGATGAGGAATGAGGAGGACAGAGAACGCGATGGGGACTGAGGAGGACAGAGAACGAGACGGGGACTGAGGAGGACAGAGAACGCGACGGGGACTGAGGAGGACAGAGAACGCGATGGGGACTGAGGAGGACAGAGAACGCGATGGGGACTGAGGAGGACAGAGAACGCGATCGGGACTGAGGAGGACAGAGAACGTGATGGGGACTGAGGAGGGCAGAGAACGCGATCAGGACTGAGGAGGATAGAGACGGATCCTGGGTGAAGGCAGCCAGGCTTCACAATGACTTAAGAGAGAAGACACCCTGGAGGTGTGGGGAGAAGTCCTCACTGTAGTAGGGGACGTGGTGACTGCCAGGTGCTGTCCACTTCTCAGGAGGGGGAAGGGAAGATGGGATGGGATGGGAAGGAAAAAAGGGAGGGGCTTCCGTCTTTGGATTATAGCCAATTATCTGTGGGGTTTATTGTATGTTTGGCAACTAGAACAGAAGGTCTGTGACAGCCTGGGCAACATAATAAGATCCTGTTAAAAAAAAAAAAACAAATTGCCTAATGGCAGAAGTCTGTAGTCCCAGCTATTCAGGAGGCTGAAGTGGGAGGATGGCTTGAACCCAGGAGTTCAAGCCATGATTGTGCCACTGCACTCCTGCCCGGGTGACAGAGCAAGACCTTTCCCTAAAAATTTAAAAAATAAAATTCCAAAAATAAATATAAAAACAAAAAATAAAATAAAAACAGAAAAAAAAACTAAAAAGAAAAAAAGAGAGAGAAAGCTCCATGAGGGCAGGGACAGTGAGCTCAGGCTGCTGTACTCTGTTGCATCCCCAAGGTCTGGAGCTGCACCTGGCACATGAAGGAATTGAATCAGTATGTGGCCAGGCTTGGTGGCTCACACGTGTGATCCCAGCGCTGTGGGAGGCCAGGGCAGGAGGACGGCTAGAGCCCAGAGTTCAAGAGCAGCCTGGACAACACAGTGCAACCTCATTTCTACAGAAAATCCAAAAATTAGCCAGGCATGGTATCAGCCCCTTGTAGTCTCAGCTACTCTGGAGGCTGAGTGGGGTAGGATCACTTGAGCCCAGGAGGTTTTTTGAGACCAAGTCTCACTCTGTAACCCAGGCTGAAGTACAATGGTATGATCTCAGCTCACTGCAACCTCCACCTCCCAAGTAGCTCCAGAGAAATCAAGTGATTTCTCCTGCCTCAGCCTCCTGAGTAGCTGGGACTACAGGTGTGAGCCACCACACCCAGCTAATTTTTGTATTTTTAGTAGAGGCGAAGTTTCACCATGCTGGCCAGGCTGGTCTCAAACTCCTGACCTCAGGTGATCCACCCACCTCGGCCTCCCAGAGTGCTGGGATTACAGACGTGAGCCACTGTGTCCAGCCAAGCCCAGGAGTTTAAGGCTGCAGTGAGCTATGATCATGCCACTGCTCTCCAGCCTGGGTGACAGAGCAAGGCAGTTGTCTCAAAAAAAAAAAAAAAAAAAAAAGGGAAATCAATATTTGTCTAATGGAGTGTTGATAAATATTGAGGGATGGGAGGATACCTGAGAAAATGTGTGAGAGTGAGAGGTGTGGAAGACCACCATGGTGGACGCAGAGAAATCAGTCCAGCCTCTGCTGCCCGCTGGATTGAGGGTAAAACCTCCCCTTCTTCCCCACCTGGCTGCAGGGTAGCCAGGCTGCCTCAGATCCTGGCTCTGCCCACGTACCTTCTTCACACGAAGGGCTGTAATCACGTGGCTCTCATCATATTCCCGTTTGGAACGGACATCTGGAAAGGAAAAGCATTTAACTAAGAGCTGAATTTGCAAAGGAACATATGACCAAACTACTTAGCAGACTTCCATCGTCATCAACATCTATTTGCTGGGCAGCTAAGGGATAGTCATTGTTGGTTTAAAACTTGAGATGCAGGGCTGTGCAATGGCTCACCCTTGTAATCCCAACACTTTGGGAGGCTGAGGCGGGCGGATCACGTGAGGCCAGGAGGCCTGGTCAACATGGCAAAATCCCGTCTCTACTAAAAACACAAAAATTAGCTGGGCGTGGTGGTGCATGCCTGTAATCCCAGCTACTCAGGAGGTTGAGGAAAGAGAATCACTTAAATCTGTCAATTGGAGGCTGAGGTGAGCCAACATCATGCCGTTGCACTCCAGCCTGGGCAACAGAGCAAGATTCTGTCTCAAATGAATAAAGAGATGGAGGAAGCAAAGGAGGGAGGGAGGGAGGGGAAGGAAGAAATCAAATTTGAAGTGAGCTCACACTAAATCCCCATCCAGGCTGGAGTGCAGTGGCATGATCTCAGATCACTGCAACCTCTGCCTCCCAGGGTCAAGCAATTCTTCTGCCTTGGTCTCCCAAGACGTTGGGATGAGAGGCATAAGCCACCACACTTGGCCTCTTAACAGCTTTCTAAAGCAGCGATCCCCAGCCCCTTTAGCACCAGGGACCGGTTTCGTGGAAGACAATTTTTCCCACAGAACAGGACAGTGGGGTTGGGATGAATCGGGGATAACTCCAGCACATTACATTTTTTGCATGTTTTATTTCTATTGTTAGACACCGTAATATATTCTGAAATAATTCTGCAACTCACCACCACGTGAGTGATCCCTGAGCTTGTTTTCCTGCAACTAGACAGTCCCATCCGAGGGTGATGGGAGGCAGTGACAGGTCCTCAGGCGTTAGATTCTCATAAGGAGCGGGCAGCCTACATCCCTGGCATCTGCAGTTCACAGCAGGGTTCACGCTTCTGTGAGAATCTAACGCTGCAGCTGATCTGAGGAGGTGGAGCTCAAGCAGGAATGTGAGCGAAGGGGCGTGGCTGTAACTACAGGTGAAGCTTCACTGGCTTCCCTGCTGCTCACCTTCTGCCGTCGGCCTGGCTCCTAATAGGCCACAGACTGGTACTGGGGGTTGGGGACCCCTGTTTTTTGTTTTCTTGTTTTTTTTTTTCTTTTTTGAGACAGGGTCTCACTCTGTTGCCCAGGCTGAGAATGCAGTGGTGCGATCTCGGTTCACTCCAACCTCCACCTCCCAGGTTCAAGCAATTCTCCCGCCTCAGCCTCCCGAGTGTGGATAACCCCCAACATGTGCACCGAGGAAGGAGAGCTGGGCAAACCCCAGGCACAATTAGTGCCTGAAGAGTAGCTTAAAGTGTTATTACTCAGCTATTTCCTTTGTATAATCCTTTATATATAATCATATTATAGAATTAGTGCCTGTGTATTGTAGTCGGAGCTGTACCGACACATTTAGTGCTGATTTATAGAATCCTTCCATATAACCATATAGTATTTGTAGTAGGAGGAATGCCTAGAGCAGTCACAGAACAGAAGCCGTACATGGGAAAACAGCCAGGCCAGGACAAGAACCAAAGACCCAGGTGGTGGCGGCCCTGCCTGAAAGGGCATACGCTGTATGGCAGGCTTGGAGCAGGAGCCCCTCCTCCTGATAAAGGAGTTGTAGTACCTTGCATCCAGTTCCTGTGGAAAGTAGGCCTCAGGCCTGAGATCCTGGAAGTAACCCAGGGAGAAGAACCCCTCTGATGTGACCAGTCACGGCGGCGGTACACCCTGTCAGCCTTTTCTCGCTTCTGTGCTGGCTCAAATCATCCTCCCATAAAATATCTTAGAGAACAGCACAAGTCTGTCAGCCCCCACTGCATTGGCTTACAGTATCCTTCTATTAGAAATCCTTTGACATCTCCAGCCCCCAGATAAGAAGTGTTGCGCACGACACCTGTTGCACACAGCCCACCTCCTTCTCTTGGTGACCTAATGGTGGTGGACCCCTTTTTTCTACACGACCCTCTACTACTATGCCCCGCACGGCATAGGCCCCTACTGCACACGGCCCACTTCTCTGCCCAGGTGACATAATGGGGTGGCCCTCTCGCCTGCTACTCACATGATTATGTATGTCCTATCATTAAGCCTATAGATGACCTCACTCATGACCCTTCCCCCTGCCTTGTACCCAATAAATATTGATGCTTCTGGACGTTCAGGGCCTCGCCTGTCTCTGCACATAGGTGGTGCGCCCTGCCCTCCCCACCGAGCCCAGCTGCTCTTTTCCAGTTTTTCTCTGTCCTGTCTCATTTCTCGGATCCTGTGCTTCAGCACAGCTATGGAGGACACCCCACGACCCTGTGGGGCCAATAGCCCTACACCGAGTAGCTGGGATTACAGGTGTGCACCACATGCCTGGCTAATTTTTTTATATTTTTAGTAGAGATGGGGTTTTGCCCTGTTGGCCCAGCTGGTCTCAAACTCCTGGCCTCAAGTGATTCACCCACCTCAGCCTCCATAAGTGCCGGGATTACAGGCGTGTGCCACCTCACCTGGTCCAGGGACCCCAGTTCTAGAGTCATTCATCCCCCCTCCCAAAAGTTTAACTCATCAAAAATAATATTTGAAGGACACTGTGTTCAACCTCCCCCGTTCTCCAAGTACTTACCCAATAAACAGAGATAGTTGGGTTCAGTTAATCTGGATAGTTTTGTGACCTGATTCAGGATGTTGTACAGCTCTGTCGGTTCACACAAAACCAAACGAGGCATCCTACTGGGAAGAATTAGGGCGCACAGTGTAACACACCTCTCTTTCTATTTTAGATGAGTGATCACAAAGTGATATATCGAATTCAGCTCTTTTTTTAACATCCTTCAAACAAAGATGACAGTACTCAGGAATGCTTCAAAACTGCGCAGTGAAATGTGTGCAGAGGAGAATAAAATCTTAAATACAATGTATCTAGCCAGGCATGGTGGCTCACTGTAATCCCAGGACTTTGGGAGGCTGAGACAGGTGGATCACTTGAGGCCAGGAGTTTGAGATTAGCCTGGCCGACATGACAAGACCCTGTCTCTACTAAAAATACAAAAAAACTTGGCCGGGTGCGGTGGCTCACACCTGTAATCCCAGGACTTTGGAAGGCTGAGGCGGGTGGATCACCTGAGGTCAGGAGTTCAAAACCAGCTTGGCCAACATGGTGAAACCCTGTCTCAACTAAAAATACAAAAATTAGCCAGTCATGGTGGTGAGCACTTACAGTCCTAGCTACTCAGGGGTCTGAGGCAGGACAATCACTGGAACCTGGGAGGCAGAGGCTGCAATGAGCCGAGATCACGCCATTGCACTCCAGCCTGGGAGACAGAGTAAGATGCTGTCTCAAAAAAAAAAAAAAAAAAAAATTAACCAGGCATGGTGGCACATACCTGTAACCCCAGCTACTCAGGAGGCTGGGGGAGGAGAATCACTTGAACCCAGGAGGCGGAGGTTACAGCCAAGATCGTGCCACTCCATTCCAGCCTGGGCGACAGAATGAGATTCCATCTCAAAAAAAAAAAAAAAAATGTGTAGTGAAATGTGAGCAGAGGAGAATAAAATCTTGAATACAACATATCTGAGCCATATACGTATCACATGAGATATAAAACAGCGGCCAATTCATTTGTTCATTTAGCAAATAATTACTGAGCACCTATGATGTCCCAGGCATTGGAAATGACTGTGGCAAACAAAGTTGCCTTCATGGAGGTTAGAGTCTAGCATGAAATGCAGACACTTGGGGAAAGAAGTGCACGACGTAAGAGCACTATAAAACATCTTGAGGCCATGCATAGTGACGCATACCTGTATTCTCAGCACTTTTGGGAGGCCTAGGCAGGAGGATATCTGGATCCCAGGAGTTCAAGACCAACTTGGACCACATAGCAAGACCCTGTGATACAAATTAGCTAGGCATGGTGCTGTACACCTGCAGTCCCAGCTACTCAGGAGGCCAAGGTGGGGGGATTGCTCAAGCCCAGGAGTTCAAGACCAGCCTGGACAACATGGTGAGACCCATCTCTACAAAAAAAACGTTAAAAGTTACCCAGGTGTGGGTGGCATATGCCTGTGGCCCCAGCAACTCAGGAGGCTGAGGTGGAAGAATCACTTGAGCCTGGGAGGTGAGGTTGCAGTGAGCCATGATCATGCCACTTCAATCCAGCCCAGGCAACAGAGTGAGACTATGTCTTGGGGGGAAAAAAAAGGATCAGCTGGGCGTGGTGGCTCACACCTGTAATCCCAGCACTTTGGGAGGCTGAGGCTGGCGGATCACCTGAGGTCAAGAGTTCGAGACCAGCCTGCCCAACATGGTGAAATGAATCTCTACTAAAAATACAAAAATTAGCTGGGCGTGGTCACAAGTACTTGTAAAACCAGCTATTTGGGAGGCTGAGGCAGGAGAATTGCTTGAACCCAGGAGGCGGAGGTTGCAGTCGGCCAAGATTGCACCACTGCACTCCATCCTGGGTGACAGAGCAACTCCACCTTCAAAAAAAAAAAAAGTAGGATCCACTGTCACAGGAGGACCTAAGACGAAGTTCTCACCTAGTTGGAGGAATGGGACAAGGGTTGTTGTTAAGGATGTGACTGCTAAATTGAGACAGGAGGCTGGGCAAGAGGAGGAGGGAGAGAGGGTGAAACAGAGGATACGGACATTCTCCTGGGGGCGGGGGCAAGTGCAGCACCTGGGAGAGTTCAAAGGAGCCTGGTGTGGCTCCACTAAGAGCTTGATAAGACACTGCAGGGGCCCACACAGGTTGCCTCTGTGTTAGGGATCCCAGTAGTCGCTGCTGGCTGGAAAATCACTGCCGTGTACAGAGCTAGGCTTGAGTTCCAGTTGGCAGAGCTGCTCTCAGAACACTGCCTCCTGGGCCCAGTTGTTTCTGGAAGGGTCAGGCCTGTGCGGCAGCTTCCTGCAGGAAGGCTACCTTTTATTTTATTTTTGAGACAGGGTCTTGTGCTGTCATCCAGGCTGAAGTACAGTGGTATTGAAGAGCGAAAAGAAAAATTAATAAAACACAATACAAAAATAAAATTGATGCAGGAAAGAGCAGCAGAAATTAACTTTTTCTTATACAAGCAAACTTCCCTGAGTCGGTTCCCCTCCTGTGGAATTGCGTCCTGCCTTGTGAGTTTTTTAAGTTTATAAATTCTTGTATTCTTTTCTCCATAGCCGATAACTAAGTTTCTGTAACACAGCAAAGGTCGTAAGAAATGCCTAAGCAGGCTGGACTCCAGCCTTCTAGGTGCTGTAGTGGAGGACAACAGGTAAGGCCCGTGCTAGAATCCTTGAGCTCTACAGATAGCAAGCATCTGTGCTGCAGAGCAAAAGTTAAATGTGAGCCTGAGTTATGTGCCTTGTCATTGCTTGATAAACTGTCTTTGTTCTGCACCTGCAAGCTTATTTTTGTGCCACTGTATACTTCATGTATAAAAAGTCAAGCTCTGTCTTTGTGGGGTATGCAGCCATTTTGGACGCGAATCTGAGCTGGGCCGGTGTGCCCCTAAAATAAACTCCTTCTGTAACCTCAACGGTCTCTCCAGACTCTAAAATTCTGCAACATGTCTGGGGGCTCATCTGGGACTGGAGATGAGGGGCTTGCTGTCTCCTTTGCCTGTGAGGCCAGGGCCCCCGAGTCGAGGAGGGAGACCCGAGAACCTAGGCACCACCGGGAGGCTTCTCTCAAGAAGATGAGCTCTCCCAAGTCCCGGTGCCTTCCCTGGGCAGTGCAGAGGAGCCGGGAAGAGGCTGCAGAATGACTTTAGGATCAGCGTGCTTTAGGAACCACAGTAAGACATTTGGAGCTTCAGTCACCTTCCAGGGAAGTGACCAGTAACCCTACCTAGTAGGGCTAGGGGAAGCGAGAGGGGCTCCCCAGTTCAAGTGAAACTCACCTAACTGGAACTTGATCAGCCTCAGTGATTATTAATGCAACCCAGTAGGGCTGGGGGAGGAGAGAGCAGCTCACTGATTCTGATGAAACTCACATACCCACCAACATAGAAAAGGAAAGGCAAAAACTGGGAAGGGGAGGTGTGTGAAAGTGTGTGAAAGAGATGGTTCTAGGAGGAACCGACATGGGGAGTGACGGGGGGGGGTGGGGGAGACACAGGTCCCTTAGGGTGGACTGTGCACTCTGCGGCAAGCGTAGGACTGACCAGATCTAGGGTGATTCCGCGTATGGCCGATAGGAGCCGCCCTATGACTGCAGCTGTTGTGGAGGGATTAAGGCACTCTCCTGGCTAAGCAGCACCTGAAACTCCTGCAGGGGGACCTGATTTGGCCTGTCCAGAACAAAAGGCTGGGTGACAGTGCACTGC